AAATATATAACAATGATTGGCGGCTCACCTGAGTTCTGAGTTCCATCTGTGCAGTCATTGGAGATGTCCGAAGAAAACATGTTAATTCTGGTCATGTGATCCTCCATTTGAGATGAGTTCTAATATCTGAACTTGATAATTAAAAGTTTAAGTTTCCTCTCCTGTACAAAGTGTGTTTCTGTAGTTGCCTTGTAAGATGAAATAATTTTATCATGTCAATTGTTGAAGCATGCAACCAAAAAAACCTTAAAAACCAATAAAAAATCTTATAGTTCAGATGGAATTTCTTCACAGGTCATCAGAGAGTAACCCTAAATTTGCTCAGACGATCTTGATCTGGTACTGATGTCCTCTCTCTGTGGTTTCTGATGTAATGTGGGGTCAATGGAGTTCCCAGTTCGTCTTGCTTCTTTCTCTCTTGTTAGAGTTAGTGTGTGAGCCTGAGTCGTCTGGGGGCTTTCTGGAGGAAGACAAGGAGATTAGCAACAGGCGCTGTGTAAGCAAATGCTGATTTGCCATCCTCCTTAATCTTTACTGTCCATAAGGATGAATCAATCAGTCACACCCCTCAGGAATATGACCATGTTCCACAAAATGCGAACAATGAAAAATAAAGATATTCTATTGTTTCTTCTTGCCTTCACTGCCACTGAACGACTCCTCATGGAAAAGATATTGATGGTCACCAGTGTCTCAAGTATAGTGAACAAGTAATGTCACAAGTTGTGTGCGACACTTTACCTGGGCAAAGTGTCATAGAAAAAAATATTTTGTATAAATAATCATTATCAAACCTGAGGAGAGATGTTTGCCTGTGTATGAATAAAGATACTTTATATGTACGTTATCTTATTATAAATCTGATGATGCTGGTTGAAACCATCCATGACTGCCCACAGCATCAACTTAACACCTGTTGCTTCAAGCACGTTTATTGAACTATATTACTGCACATAAGATATGTCATTGGACTGTTACATTGATTATTTGTCTCTCTCCTTGTACACATATGTTCCTCACCATCCTATTAACAGTGGTACTCTACAATCTGTGCCATATTGGCCCTGTCAATGACACTAATGGCCTCAGGAGCAGCCACCCCAAATCAGCAAAGTAGCTTAACCTTCCATGAAACGTGCTCTTCCTCCTGTCGGGGGATCACATAAAGGGGGGTGATGAGAAAAAAAACAATTAGTGCAGAGATTGAAAGACCAGCAAAGAGTTGACCCTTAATTCCATTCTCCGGCCATATGGTGGCTGCTCTCTGAGGCCTCAGTCGGGCTAATTACTGACCCGAGTACAATTTACTGTTAATAAGGATTTTCTCTCTTTCTTTTCTTTACCTTAAGGTATTAGAACAGCAGGTCGCCACAAGGAAATGTCAGAAACATCAGCACCTGCGCGTGCTCTTTTCTGTCCCCGTTTATCAAGCAGTCACGGCTAAAGTCAGCTGAATGCGGTTCTGCTCTTAAATCAGACTAACAACAAAAACTCTGAAGTGACTGTCCTCTCTGTCCTCTGCAGTTTGATTTCTATCACATCCGTAATCCCTATTAACTCACACTTGATTTTAGGGGGACTGCTAAGTATGAAAACAGAGCTCTTTCTGTTTACCTAAACTAGTGTATAAAAGGATTACAGACCACAGGGGTGAAGCACATAGAGCCGTTTGAATTCAGAACATGTTGTTACATTCAAATGTTTAAAATGCACCTATAGCCGCTGCTTGTAATCTTAATTCACTTGTCAGCTAATTTTGTCTGTGGGAAACGGTAACAATCTATAGCACATATCTCCACCAAGGCCCAACAGTCCTCTTAAATTCAAACTGCACCAAATTCCAAACACTCATTGATATCATTGATACTCACCCTGTCACTCAACACTGAGATCCACATGTCTGACAATGAAGAAATATTGTTGAGTGTTGACATCTGGGACCGGTTAACACCTCAATTCAATCCAATCTTATTTTGTTTTTACTGTGCCAAATCACAAAACACATTTATGGTGGCTCTGAGGGGCAAATGAGGAATCACAAGGGCATGTCACAAAACACCACAACAAAATGTAAAACACAACAACAAAAAGGGAGGAGAGGTGAAAAGGAGAGGGGAGAGAAGAGAAAGAGTTTAACCAGACCATTAAAATGATTTTCTTCCACAACACTGTCTTTCACATGAAAGCACTTAAAACAGCTTCTATACTCTGTTCTTTCCCTCATGCATTTTATTCCGGCCCTAAGCAGCACTGAGTATTGTAATCTGGAGAATCATGTCAGATTATATAACACGTGTTTCTCACGTGTCAGAATGAGCTGATTATTTTGTTCTTCACACATGCAGACAAGATATTCACTTTCAGGTGTATACTCACAGGTCAATTCTGAGGAAAACGAATGGTTTGTTTCATGTGGGTTAATTTGTCAATGATAATATATTTAGTTATAGTGTAATTTAAAGGTACAGTGTTCAGAATTTTGTGATATCAAGTTTTGAAATTGCATGTTGCAGCTGAACACCCCTCACCTCACCCTCTCCTTCCAAACATGAAAAAGAACCTGTGGTAGCCTTGAATTGTCATAAAAACTAAAAAGGTGTTTAGTTTGTCCAGTCTGGACTAATGTAAAAAACATGGCTGCCTCTGTAGAGAGGATCCCCTCAATGTAAATAGTTTTTAAATATAAAGGACCTTTTCTGGGGTAAAGAAAACTACAATTCATACAATTTAGATGAAATGAACTAGTGAAAACATCCTGAGAATTATTCTACATTAAACTTCTGCCAACAGATCCCTTTCACCTAAATCTTACACACTGGACCTTAAAGAGTTATCAATAACAGTGAACCCTTTAATAGACCTCATGTGTTTTTCTCTGATGTCTGATTTTCCAGGTGTCAGCACAGGTAAGATGCTGCCGCCATCAGAAAAATGCTGCATTAAGGTGGCAGGTGGATTAGTGTCACATTTCTTTACGCCTCAGCTCTATGTGTGTCGTACACACGCAGCCAATCTTTAGCAGGCCGCTGCCATCAGCCAACCGGATGATTATGGATTTAGCTGAAACATTTGTGATGACAGAGGCCTGCAGGCGATTGAGCACACGTCACCGGTAAAACCCCAGATCAGTTTCTTGGCACATCAGAATGATCTCCCAATCACTCGTCTGAGAGCCGTTAACCTTCTAGAGATGACTTCAATGAAAAACTTTTCACAGTAATAAATTGCAGTTCAGCAGCTTTTTGATATAATCTCTTTGAGTGCTTTTGTCAAAGAGTGAGATTAACTTTTAAAGTTGTCGCTGTTCTTTTTAGACACAGGGAACAGGTGCCTCAAGTAACACATGTCATAGTTAAAGATCTTAGTCTAAATTGAATTATTAATTATGACTTTTCATCAATAAACTTCTGCTCTTTGCTGTTTTTACACAAAGTGGATAATTGAAGTTAACCAAAATGAATAAAGGTGGTGTGAGCAATGTTTGAGCAGGATAATCTTCTTCCTGTCTTGTTATCAAGTCATGGCATAAGCTTCTGTTACACTGCACTCAGCATGTCTACCTGATTCCCAATCGCTGCAGAGAGTGGTTAACTGAGCTTTGTTAGGTTCACTTCAGCATTTCCTGTGCCCCCTCCGCCAACCCCCCAAGTTAGATGAGGTAGAAGGATTGAGGTGTCAGCACTATGGCTACCAGGGATCGCCCCGCCTTACCATCTGTTGCCACTACCCTAATCCACATATGGAGAAAATCACTTGTCTCAGTCCATATCACAATCATGTCACATCATTTGAACAGGGAAATTAACATTGCTGATGCTCGCTGTAAACTCTGACTGCTGATGGAGGGGTTGGGAAGCTTATTTAGTTATGTCCTAGACATAAATGCTCATAATCTTTATAGAGATGAAACCGAATGTTCCAAATCATTTACCAGAAATTATAAAAGTTAACCAGAATGGTACGAAGTAGAGCGCATACTTCCACCAGTGCCTGACAGACAGCTTAAATTCAGTCAAGCTGCACCAGGTTGCACACACTCACAGATATCAGTCCACCAAATATGCCTGATTCTTTACATCAAGATCCATGAGTTACTCCGGTATTGATGAAAATGTGAGAAAACTAAACTTCCTTTCAGAAAATCTTGACTCTTTGTCCAGATCCACCTCAAATATTAACTGAGTCTGTCCTGGGCCATGTCCATTCTTTCCATTAAGTTTTGTGGAAGATTGTTCAGTATTTTTGGCAAAATCCTGCTGACAAACAAATTAAACAAACCAACCTAAAACCCATAATACATGGGCAAAGCCTAACACCAAACTAAAACTCAACCAAATCCCTGAGGTTTTTAAGGTCTTTAAGGTCCCATTACTTTTGGTGAGGATTTGGAATTCTTTAACATTGTGAAATAAGGCATTTTTCAACATTTTCAACATTTTCCCAAAGAATTTTTCACTGATATCTTGATGAAAGAGATCCGACATGTTTAGGGAACTGATACATATGAGTGTGTGAAATTTAAGGGGACTGTTGGACCTTGGTAGAGAAACTTGATGGAATGGATTCGTTTTTCTCAGACTTCTCAGAGAATAATTCATGGATCTTTATTTTTAAAATCAGACATGTTTGAAGATTGAGATCTTGTGAATTTAAATATGTTTTTTTCCCCCAAGGGGACTGTCAGGCCTTGGTGGATGTGTGCACTCTCCTGAATCCCATTCTGGTTAAAGCTGTCCTTGTCTTCATTAATGTTGTCGTTCCCAGGTTGGCCTCTAGAGGGAGACAGACGCTTTCTGACTGTATCACAACAGCGAGTTTGCAGGCTGTTTGCAGCAGCTGCTGAGTCAGACAGAACATGTGTAGGTTTACATATCACAGGACAGTCACAGTAACAAGTTTTCCTGGGCCACATCCATGCGAATTTAAATCCACTTCCATTGCATTTGCTCGATATATAAGCAGGTCAAAGCAAAATCAACATGTAAATCCAAGAAAAGAGGTGAACTTGAGGAGTTTGGAGAAAATGAAAAGCTCTGACACGTGTCTTGAAATTGATGATGAAAACGCCTGACCACAGCTTTATTAGTTTAACAATATTATTTTATTTATAATTCAAGTTTGAGATTTCCTGTAAAGAAAAATACAACCCTGTGAGATGTGATAAATACATTTATTTGGTCATTTTCATTCAAACAGTAATTCAGTTTAAATTGGGTCAACAAGAGCTGGCTTTTAGTCTTGATTCCTGAAAGAGATTCTGATGCTGCAAAAGCATTAGAACGTTTAAATAGATTGCAGATGATGGTGACACCACTCCAGGGAGCCTAAGAAAATATACATTTTGACTGAGATGATAAAATTATTGACAGTTGTGGTGTCTGAAATGCTATGTGTAGTCCTCCCCATAAAATAAATTTATCGTTGGGTTCGAGGCCCACTGGTCCTGAGGAATTTGGAGAAAGCCTGAACGTATGGTAGGGCATTAGGTCACAGTTTTAAGGGGTACACTAAATTTGAGTTAGTGCCTTCTCTCCCTGTCACCAGACAAATGAGAAGAGCTGGATGAAAACCAGATGTGTTTTCTTTAAATTAACGAAAACAACCCTCCTATATAAACGAGGAGTTGAAGTTGTCCCCTTAGAAGAGATTCACATTGGCTCCGAATCTCTCTCCAGGCAGGAGAGATTCACATTGACTTCGGATCTCTCCAAAGGCAGATTGCATTGCTTGTATTGATGCTGAACTTTTTTGTAATAAACATTTTATACAATTAAGACGGTGTCATCGGAGATTCCTTCATCATCTTCACATCATCGCAACCCCAATATACGACGCAGTCTTTACTGTCCCCTAGTGGTGTTGCTACACTTTTAAAACTTCTGTAACAGGAAACCAAGTTTTGTCTTTAAATCAAACATATAAATCACAGCAGTTAAACTATAGCCACAGCTCACGTGTTTTTCTCTTACCTCTGAAGGACGGGGCCCTCTGATCAAAACTCGTAAGGCCTGGTTAAAATCACAAGTCACCGAGGCATTTTAATGGTCTGTTACATTTGAGCCTAGAAAAATCTGAATCATCCACTCTTGTGTGGATAAAGGAATCAGGAAACACTGATGATACTTCCTTAAATAGTCTCATCTAGAACACTGAATTAGTTGGGCATAAAAGTTCCTAGGAGTTTCCCCTAGCAGAGCGTCAACAGGTCAGATTGTCCTCGGGGTTGAATCTAAATCAATACGATTTAGCTCTGAATAAAGTTTCTTGTACGTAGCCCTTTAGATAAGAAAGCTCTGTAAATATAATGAACCTTGTTACCATTTGCAGTTTAAGGAAACCAAAGCAAGAACTTTGTTTAAAATCAACCAGCTGAGCTTATATGAAAAAAACTGTCATCTTCCAGTAAATGTGTTTCATTTGGTTTTTGAATTTTACCTTCACCTCCAGATTTTGCATGGCCAGACAAATCAGACTGCAGGCAGGACCCTTATTCCCCTCAACCTGGTATATGAGATCACCCTTCTCACATCTGACTGAGTCATTGGAAAAACCCCTGAATTACAGGGAGATGCCTTTGTTCAGGGTGGAAGCAACTTTTCATTGTTTTCCATCCTCTTTAATCCACACGACGAAAAATGTAATAACTTTAAGGATACAAAAAAGCTGGGCTTCCTCTCATAAAATGCAGCTGAAAAGTATTTGCAATGGAAATGATGGCACATGTGCAGTTAACTCTTATCGTTGGTGATTAATTAACAGCTCACTTCATCTGCATGACATACAGTACTTTATTGTATGGATCTGGAGAGGTGCAGCTCTGGCAAGGGATGATCATCAACAATGTGCCAATGAAACACCTTGATCACTGTTGGATGCATATCTGTTAATAGAACAGATGAGTGTGTGTGTGTGTGTGTGTGTGTGTGTGCCTGCATATGTTTGTGTGTGTGCATGTGTGTGCGTGTGTGCACTTAACACACACACACACTTAACAACAACCAGAGCATTCAACAAAATCACCCTGAACTGAAACCAGGGGAAGTCCTCAATCTCAGTCTTTTTTACAAAACACTCTTGCACACTTTTGCAGGAAAAGAAAAGAGCACTAAAAACATTTGATTTAGTATATCCAGTCCAAACATTAATCAAGCTTTACAGGATGAGCTTGCTTATTCAAAAGTAAGTTTGAGAATTTGGACATTTCTGACTTGCTGAGCCAAAATCATCCTGAGACAAAAGCTGATTGAAGGTTTCCTGACATGTACTTGATCAGTTTTAGAAATAAATCAACAAACCCTTGCATCTGCCTGAATAACAGAGAGACACTTAGGCCACTTATTAAATGCTCAGTAGCATAACAAATCCAGGGAAACTTGCTAAACAAGCTTTGACGGAACCAATCATGCATGACTGACATTTTCCAGCTGATAGTTAACATGTTTATTTCTGGCATTTTTGATTACACGTTCTTAATTTTCTTCTTTTCTGAAATTTGAATTATTACACTCACTATTTATGATATGATTTGGGTTTTATTTATAAATGCAGGCACATCCTGTGTACTTTCATTTTGACAATGTTAAGTCAAAGTACCATTATTCTATTAGCTACCACTGAAAACACAAGCATTTGGCTGTGCTTCCCTGGTCTACTGTAATTGTGGGTTTTAGGGAAGGTATAGGCCCACACTGACTGACGAGTGAACCGTTGTCTCTGCTAAGCCCATTGATCCACTGTAAAAGCCAACATAGTCTTGCCCCTTAAGGGCTCGGCTTTGGTCCCCATGAGGTCCACTGGTCCTGACAAAGTCACTGTTTATGCTGGAAAAGAGGTGAAAAATAAAATACCCATACATGTACACATGTTATATTAAGTATCACTGAAACACAAAAGTACCTCTGTAAATATGTACCATTTTGTGACTGGATCTTTTACATGCTCCAAGGTGTATGATTGTAAAATTGGCAGACTATGAACTTTTAAAAGTCTTTCTTGTTGGTCCTAATTCCACCTCAATTTATCACCCACCAGAGACTGAAAATTTTGCATCCAGATGAGAATTATGCAGCACTTCTGGCCTTCTTGTGGCCTGGAATAAATGGATGTGAGTCTAGAGATGCTTGTAAAATAGCAAACATGGCCGATATATCCCAAAACAAATGTCCTGTTTTGGCAAATATGCAATGCTCTAAGAAAGGTGTAATCTGGATGTGAACCCAATGTGGCCCTTGTAGAAAATGATCACTATGGCCCTAATAGCACAAAACAAATTCGGGCCACCCTTGGTTCACATGCAGTGTTGCTATGGCTTACTTGCAGAGCTGGCAAACAGGAGCAGACCGGCCAGGTGCCATCATTCCACTTGGTATGTGGGATGTGAGCCAAACCTGGACAAAAAACAGTTTTGCTATGTTGCTCAATGTTTACCCTGTAACCAAAGAAGAAGGTCCTTGGGTTCATATCATATACTATCTATGCTTTTAATTAATAGACCTAATAGCAAAATAAACTTTAGTCAAGCTAACGAACCATACCTGACTTGCATATATGTCTATTAACTGGATTTTTAATTACAGAGGTGTGGGAGTTTTAATTTTATGTTATTCTTTACGTCCTACGTCATCGGTTTGATGATCAATATTTAGGAATCGTTATTTCACATATGTTTATTCTTTCTATTTTTTTTATTTCTTTCTTCACAACATCATTCTTCTAATTATTTGCACGACGTTGCTTTGCTGTTGTGAACAATGAATATATCACTCCCAGCTAAACTAAGTGCAGATCGTACAAGATGCGGATAGACAGAAACGCGTTTTACAAAATAAAACATTTTGTTCGTTGTATCTTTCCAGCGTTGGTTGTGCCTGGACTTTACAAGGGAGGGGGTGTGTTTCATCAACCTGATGAACACTTAAAATACACGCGTATGAATCAGGCGCTGGGTTATTATTACATTATCAATTGCGTGTTGGAAGTCGTTTCGGAGACGTGTCCTGGTGAATGAAAAAGTTTTCCATGTAAATGTCTTTTATTTTTTTGACGTCTGGTCTCGTACAGCCCGGCTGACGTAAGGACGTCGTCAGTGGGTGACGCCGTGTCTCTTTGTTGGCTTAGCAGCGGCGACGTTTTGTTGTTATTTTCGCTGCAACTGAAAAGCAGGCTCGGATAATTTTTGGGTTTATCGTATTGTTCCTCGAGCGACATCCCACACACCGTAGAGCCTCTGGTGTGCGTGTCGCGGGTTGATAACCACCCCAGGAATGGACTCAGACGAGGGTTATAACTATGAATACGACGACGAGGAGGAGGAATGTAGCGAGGACAGCGCCGAAGAGGAGCCCGAGGACGACACCCTGGAGCTCGGAGAGGTGGAGTTGGTCGATCCCGTGGTGGCCGGTGGGGAGCGGGACGAATGCGGCGAGACAGGCGGAGGCAGCCACGGTCCCGGCGAGGAAGAAGAGGAGGACTACCGCTTTGAGGTTTTGACCGCCGAGCAGATCCTCCAGCATATGGTGGAGTGTATCAAGGAGGTCAACGAGGTCATCCAGGTAGGTATTTTGGTGTGTCAGTGGTAGGAAAGACCGGGGTCCGAGTTTGGCTGAAGCGTAAACAGGCCGTGGACGTTAGCTTAGCCGTTAGCATGGCAGGAGTAGTTTACTTGCTGGAAGTTGGCAGCTCCAGTGACCCGATTTACCCAAGACAAAATAATATATTTTTTCCTTAATAAAGCCCCCGTTTGTATGCGTATTCATTGAAACTAACACGTGGACAACTTCAAATCCGCACATTAAAGCAACAATTTTTAAACGAATAGTGTTCCAGGAAGTAGTCTAATCCCTATTGAGAAGTTGGCAGAAACGGTTGCTAAGCTAAGGATGGCTCGCAAGTTAGCTAGCTTGCTAACTAGCCAACTGTAACCATTTAAGTAGCACCCGACTGTAAATGCATTACGTCCCCAATCAGGTCACTGCCAAGTCGCGCTGGATGACAATTGCGCTGCGTTAGTCGAGCAGATTGAAACTAAACCTTCAGAAACGTATAGAATAGCATGTCCGTTGACGTTATTTCAGTGTTGGACGAAAGGCTTGGTCATCGAGTTGGTTAGCAAGTTTCATGCTAGGTGACTTGCGTTTACGTTAACAAACTAATTCGTGGCAAATGTATCAATAAAATGGCCGGTTAGATGGATCGTACGATGACGTTGAAATCTGTTGAAGACTAAAGATCAGATTTGAGGGGGAAAGTCAATGGAGTCCTTCAGGTTTGCGTTTACTTGGGGCCTCCATTTCCTTTCCTTTAGCTTCACTTGGGTACAGAATAAAATGGAAAGGGGTCGTGATAAATCTGTCACTATTTACCCTCCTAAGAAATAGCGTTGCCTTCAGTGTGTATTACATATATGTGAGTGTCATCATTCACCATGGAGAAGCCCATAGAACTAGATTATATACATTTTAAGTACTGTGGACGCAGTACTGCCACATGGGAGTTATTTCTACAGCAGAAACAACAACTGACATGGTGTTTCTGCTATAAATAGTATTTATGTGTAGCTACTTTATTTCCAGGTTTTTGCAACACTAACCAATAACTAAAATCAGAAGTCTGTTCTCTTAAGTAAAGTTGTCAGTGTGGGATATGTGACAAGATAGTAAACTTCACTTGAATGTTATTTTCTGGTTTTGTGACTGCCAGTGAAGAGTGGCAGGTTTTGCCTTGTGTCTGAAAAGGCTGTCAGGAAAAGTTAACTCTGTACAGATAAACATCACCACAAACTACAGCCCCTATAAATGAATGTGAAATTGAATCAGCACCTCACCAATACATTACCAACCCAAAATGAACATTATAACCTTCTTGAAAGTAAGATTTATTTCAGTGCTGTCATATTAGATTGTATTAGTTTTAGCTTGGTGTTCCTAATAAACAGGCATTTTAGTATGCTCTCGCACTCTCATATGTTATCAATACATTGACACTACTGTCATTATTGTTTTTTGTATCCTATTTAAACTGTAAACTGTTTTTATGTAAGAAACACCAACCACATATTGGGTGACAGCACATGTGTACATGTGGCTGTACAATTGCAACACTGAAGGTACTATGTAGTAGTGCTTTGAATTAGTATATTTCCAATTGATTACTGCATAGTGAGGAAGTATTTGATCATTCTAAATTATTTGAGGATTAGTTACAGGTTTACCAAGATTCAACACAAATAATTGGCAAATAACAGAAAACAATCAGCAGCAGCCTCACATTTTTAGCTGGCACTGATCATTGCTGTTGCTTTTCGGATAAAATAAGAAACGTGCTGGTGGTTTGCTATCAGTTGTAACTAATCAGCTCGATAGCAGGCCTGAATTAAACTTGTCTGTGGTCAGTTTGTCAGCTCTCTTCACACGTCTGTCACTACTTGTCAAAGAACATATGACCACAAGTTAACGTCACTGTTTTGTGGGTTCCAGCAAATCCAACGTAGTGAGACATCTTAGTGTTTAACTCCGTGTCACTGTCTCAGATGTCATTTTTCAAATATATAACATACCAATAAGTTAAGCTTGCAGACGTATTATTTTCTGTGACAACACACAGAAGCTAGAACATGCATATGAGCATATGACAGCACTGACTCAGAACAATATCAGCATTTAACAGAAACACAAGATCTTTCCTTCTTTCTCGTGATGTTAATTGTTCAGCTTGTATCGATGCCACAGAGAAAAGCACCAGTTCCACTCTCATCACATATTCACACATGCAGGTCAAGAGTTAAGCATAGAATTGAGTATTTTTGTTGCTCCTGGACTACAAAACTGGTGGTAGGAGCACATGTCTATTGCATCTCTGCAATATTATATGGACTTAATGCCGAGGTACACCAATGCTTTTTTGTGGCTCTTGTTGACCAAGCACCTTGCTAAGATACTTAATGTTGGGTTTTTCTTTTAATTTAAACCATCAGAAGAGAGTAAGTTTGTACAGTTAATGGCCTGGTCAATAAATAGTGGTGTACATAGAGCATATGCACATAGAGCACAAATCCACCAACTTTCAAATGTTCCACTTGCAAGTGGAACATTTCCATTAGTGACTTTTAGCTGACTCCAGCTCCAGGTAGTAACTTCATTAATTCAGCAATATTCAGTATTCACTGCCTTCATTAGTGTTCACATAATAGGATGATATGTTAAGCTACGTATGCACTGAAAATACCCTACATACAGTGTTATGTGTTTGACATTATCTTTATTTGCAGCATCATCACCAATATTTCAGTGCTGTACAGTATGGTGTGCTTCTGTGAAGGTGCACCATCATATTAACGTTGTAGAATCCATGTTACAAATAGAAATGATAATTCAAATGGCAATTTACTTAGAACTATCTAATTTCATACCAGAACTTGGGGAGATGGGAAATGAATGCGATGGAACCATTTACATTAAATGTTTCAATTGTGTGCACATGGTTCACTTTAGTTTTGTTGCACTTTGAGAGTTTAGAATTGCCTGACTTTCTATTGGGCCAATAGTACATTTCAAAAGAAGTTATTCTTATGTATTTCCACCAGACGCACATACTGTGAACAGAAAAAAGATATCTGAAACTCTACCCTGCAGTGAAAACTTCCTGCTGATTCATTCAGAAACATTCTTCAGAAGGTTTCAGTAGAGTTGATTGAACATTATAGTCACTTAAAAGGCTGTCGTTTGTGATGGTATAGCATTGTATTTTACTCTGACTTTTAGTGGTGTTTCAGAATTTTGTTAATACAAATGTCATACATGGGTAGACTATGAATCACCATGTGACAACTATTAAATCTACCTTTGATTTCATTGGCTTAATTTGTTGTAAAATTAAAGCAATCCTGCTAACATTAGCTTTAATCTTCATCTGAATTACCTGGATCTTTAAAGCCTTCTTAAACCTGTTGCTCCATAAAAGAGATTTGAAATTGTAATCGGAGTAGAATTGTTGAAATACAATTGACCTTTTCATGTCAGTTATACCCCCAATCATAGGTTCCTCTTTGGCAGTAGTTAAATGTAAATTTGGGTTTATTTCTGACCAATCATTTGTCCCTCCTTTAGAATCCTGCAACAATAACACGGATCCTTCTCAGTCACTTCAACTGGGATAAAGAAAAGCTTATGGAAAGGTAAAAATCTCTGCATTACAATTTTTCATTTGTTCCCATTTGTCTGCTGTCTTAATGCTTTTTTTAAAATTCTGGTTTGTATTTTAATTTTTACAGGTATTTTGATGGTAACCTGGACAAGCTTTTCTCTGAGTGTCATGTCATTAACCCCAGTAAGAAGCCTCGGATCCGTCCTCCAATCAACACTAGATCATCGGCACAGGACATGCCATGTCAGATCTGCTATCTGAACTTCCCCAACTCTGTGAGTCCTATGATGACACTTGCATTACACTGAGTGTGTGCTCAGTTTCAAGTTGTAGTTTTACAATGAGATGAATTTAGGTTTTCTTGGCATGATAGCACACAGGAGATTTGATTTTAATTAGTTTCATTTAAAGGGTTCCCCCTAACTGATGCATCATCACAGACTTTTAATCTTATGTGATTAGTTATGTGTAATTTTACTCCTTATGTGTTATGAAGAACCAGGATTATTGTCTTCTGGCACCTGTGATACACAGATATAATGTAATTTAAAGGTCATTGATTTAACTCAGTATTCAATACTGTGGGTTAGATTCATAAACAGTACTGTGATTGATTTTAGTTTTCATGCATCAAAGTATTTTTTGGACTTTTGCCTCAGGGGAGTCAAATTAGGAACCTGCTGCTCAAGGAACATGTACCCATGTCTTATGTGTATAGGGATGTCATGCTATGATGACTGAGCCTGTAATGAGCCGTCTCCCTACCTGCTTTTCTGTCTGGGTTAGCATAGAAAAATGTCAATGCATACCAGATGGTAAAAATGCTTGAACAGTAAGTTGTTCCAATTGTAAGTAAAGATTATTAATACAAAAACAATTCGGACAGCTGTGTTATTATAAGAGTTACATAACTGTTGGAAAGTTCGATGCTTCTATTTCCATCTCACTTGGAATTACTTAAAGAGCTGTTTAGTAGCATAGCTATAGGATTTCAACAGGAAATAGCAAATGATTTTGTTCCAGAATTGGTAGAAATTATAAACTTCATCGAGCCAGCTCTTGTCTACTCTGCCATTCACTTCCACATACACTCAAAATTTGTTAAAAACTGATACAAGATTTTATGTGGATGTCGCCAAATGAGCAGGGTGTCCATTATCCATGGTTTAATACAAGACTGTAATGTATGAACACTTGGACGACATATAACTGTTGAACAGGTATTCTTTTGGAAGTCACAGTTTGGATTAACATATAAATATTCATGTTTTGAAGCACATGGTTCACTCCAATGACACACTCCTCCCTGTGGAAGAGCAAGAATGTTTCTGGGAACAATATTAATAAATCCTTTATCAACATAAGAAGCTTAAATGTCAAGGTGAACACAAATCTCTACAAATGAAACTAAATTAAAGGCACATTGCAGAGTGTATGGTTTCACTCATATAATACAGGATTAATTCATACAGTAGCAGTTGTGGTGGCAATTTCTGTGAAACAAGCACAGTCAAACACTTGTTTCTGTAAGTTTTATTCAGCATCTGCAGATGGACTCACAGTACACATCACCTGAATGACATGCACAAATGAGCAAAGAACAGAAGAGAATCTGTGTAATTAAAACTCAAAAGTATTTATTACCCGTTGTTTATATGTTTGTGGACCAGATTTGAGATCCCAACCGGAGATACCAAGAGATAACATATAGTTGTGGTTTCTCAAGGCCGTAAAGTTAAAGTCTCTTCAGCAATAATCGCAAACCTAAAGTGGCCCTTTTAGATAAACAATTAGGTCAGTCCTCCACATACACGCCTGCTCATGCATACATACACAAAATACACATTTCCAATACACAGGTTTAGTGTATTCAATATTAATTTGTCAGAGAGAAAGCAGAAAAGAACAAAATAATCTGTTTCTGGAATATTTGTGCTTTGGAGTTTGTAGCACATAGAATTATCCCCTTTTCTCCCTTTAGTGAAAACAAAGCCGTTTTGTCAAATCAAGATATTTTTTCTTTCAATAGCATCACTGAGGCCTCTTGACTATCCTGCTCCCCAAAAGTTCATATGCTTCCAATCATGTGACGCCTTGTTTGTCTTATCTGGAATCACAGTAGATGCTTCTCTGCTTCTCTCTAACAGTATTTTACAGGCCTGGAGTGTGGACACAAGTTCTGCATGCAGTGCTGGGGAGATTACCTGACCACCAAAATCATAGAAGAAGGAATGGGACAGGTACCCACTAAGATTTACTGAGATGTCTTCAGTCATCTAAGGAAAAGCTGTCTTACTAATGATTTGCCTCCTTTGTTTTCTTCTTAGACCATTTCTTGTCCCGCTCATAGTTGTGACATTTTGGTTGATGACAACACAGTCATGTGAGTATCTGTTTGTGCTTGAATTTGTTACTATGTCTTTTACGATTTTGGTCAGCAATAATCAGCACAGGAACATTAATACGATTGTCCTTTAATCAGACATGCTGTCTTTAGTTTTTTGTTATTTCAACAGGAATATAAACTGTAAATTGGATTAATTTTAACCTGACATTTCTCTGTCTTCGATCAGGCCACTACTTAACTGCTTCACAAAACTTATGTTCAGTCTGTAGCACACAGAAACGTACCTCCATATTAGAAGCATGGACACTAATCTCATGTATCAGCTTTTAAGCTGACAGTAATAGTCTTAACCTACATTCTGATCTCACTAGCTAGCAAGAGTCCTAAAAGTGTTTTCACTCATCAGTTAAAGATGCAATATGCACCGACACACATGTTCCCCATGTCAACATTTAATGTCATGAAGTGCATGTTGTGCCAAAATGAGTCGCCTCCATCCAATCTCTTGGTTTTGTAATAATATGAAATGTGTTGTTGGAACAATGTTAACTTAAGGAAAGGTGAAGTTGTGTGACTCTTTTTTTATTATTGCATTGCTGTTAAGAAGGTGCAGTGCGCATAAAATGGAGGATGTTTTTTTTTATCAATTATTCATTTTCTGTAATGAAGACTAATTGTAAATTATTTGACTTTTCTTATAGGCGCCTCATAACAGATTCAAAAGTGAAGTTGAAGTACCAGCATTTAATTACAAATAGTTTTGTAGAGGTAAGCTTTGATTTCTTTTTCCTACTCGAAATGGATATGAAAACATACTCTTTTTTATTAGTTTGAGTCATCAGGTGATCTGTATACACAACTTGTAAAGCATCCATGAAACAGACCTTAAATTCTATCTCTCATTACTTCTTTCAAGTGCAATCGACTGTTAAAGTGGTGCCCTGCGCCAGACTGCCATCACGTTGTCAAAGTCCAGTACCCAGATGCCAAACCAGTGAGGTGCAAGTGTGGTCGTCAGTTCTGGTATGAGAGCTTGTTTTTAAAAAATGTTTTATTAGACTATTATGAATTGACAGTAACAGTACTTGACTGTCGACTATGTCCATTTAACAGTTATTATTAAAGATGATTTGATTTTGACTTGTTTTTCTGATCTCTTGTTGCAGTTTCAACTGTGGAGAGAATTGGCACGATCCTGTTAAGTGTAAGGTAAGTCGACAGAGATCTTATCACCTTTTTATTATCAAAAATATTAAACTTTATCTCTTCATCTTTAATAAAATCTACATTGTGTTAACATGATTATTTCCTCTTTTCATTTCAATTATTTTGTAGTGGCTGAGAAAATGGATTAAGAAATGTGATGATGACAGTGAAACGTCAAACTGGATTGCAGCAAATACTAAGGTATGGAATCAACAAGGTCTGTTAGGTTCCCTCAAGTACTGGTTCATGATTGTAGAGAATCATTACAATGGAATTTGATTATTTTCAATGTGGCAATACTGAAATATGCAAGTGTTTTTAAGCTTTTAAATCGTGTTTTAAATAATTACAGTCAAATGACTTATTTGATTGAATAATGTTCCCAGTTCCAAGCTAGCAGGCCTTCATTAATGTTTTGGACAAAACGTCAGACTGAAAAATAAACATCTACTGTCTTTTAAGTACTTTCTTTACTATTTCTCCTAAATTCCTCTTTGCCTTTAATTGTATGTTTTATTTGTCCTGTTTTTTATGAAAAACAATAAAATCGCCATCTCGTGCAGAGATTTACAAAAATAATAAATCCCCTCTCCTGACAGGAGTGTCCAAAATGCCATGTGACCATTGAGAAAGATGGTGGCTGCAATCATATGGTTTGTCGGAACCAGAACTGCAAAGCTGAGTTCTGCTGGGTGTGCCTTGGTCCATGGGAACCCCACGGCTCAGCCTGGTAAGAACTGACTGCTTAGAGAGTTAATGAGTAAATGACTCTTTCCATGTCGTATTATACTATAACTTCACAGGTATAAATGCAGATGGTCATGCCATTTTATATCTTAATACATAATACATAAATGTAAACCATGGATATGGTATTAATTTATCTTCTCCATCACAATTTGCTTTTAGCTTAATCAGCACACTGTGGTTGTGTAAAACATGCCAGGAGACTGCAGGCCTATTTAAGTATTGAAGGAAATATGGTCTGGCTGGACTTAAATGAATAGTCAGCCGTTTGGCCATCAGCCAGTGTTTATGGAAAGCTCTGAACAGTAGCAATGTGTTATCCTGGAAAACATTTTTAATGGTCCTAATGTTTCAGGTACAACTGCAATCGCTACAATGAAGATGATGCCAAGGCAGCCAGAGATGCCCAAGAGGTAATAAATGATCCTGATTTTAAGAAATTAGAATACTGTTGTTGATGTATATTTGCTACATAATCACTAAATATCTGTGCAGCATTCAGACTTCCATTTATAGATACATATGCAGCAGCACCCAGTATTGTTTCCATCCTTCTGCACTGGCTAACACGTGTATATTCATACAAGAAGTTGAGAAAAAATTATACAATTTGATAAATTCCAAAACAATTCTAGAGCCAGCAACAAGAAATTCCAATGAGTTATGTCAGAATTTAATCTGTTCAAACTCATCAGTTCCTCTTGTACAAAACATTAATACAGTGAATGCTGCTGTGTTGGCCTGAAAAGACATTGATCAGCCACAACATTAAAACCACCTGACTGCACACAGTCTCTGAAGGTGTATTAAAGTATCAGATTCGAATATCGTGAATTTGGAGACATATCCAATATCCAAGCCAACCACTCCTGAATAGTGGCAGTGGAGGTTATCCTTGTTTAAGATGGATGTCCTTGCCATGTAGGGGTTTACTTAGTCTGAAACATTGTCATGGTGGAATATATACGTGTCAGGGTAACATCCACATGAATGCCAGTACCCAAGGTTTCTCAGGAGAACATTGCTCAGAGCATCACACCGTCTTTTTGTTTTTTCCCACGGGGCATCCTGTTGCAATCTCTTCCTCAGGTAAATGATGCACCCTGACGTTCCACATGATGTAAAAGAAAATATGACTCATCAGACCAGGCCACTGTCCTCCATTGCTCAATGGTCCAGCTGTGAGCGCAATGTGCCCATTGTGCATGGGTACACAGTGAGCTGTGATGCTCTGTGTGTTCTGACAGCTTTCTATCATAACCAGCATTTCTGATACAGTAGCTTTTTCATGAGATTTGACCACACAGGCCAGTCTTCCTTCCCCATGCACTGTGCCATGGGCTCCCATGACCCTGTCACCAATTCAGCAGTTGTCCTTTCTTGGTATTCACTTTTTAGAGGTAGTGACTGCTGCGTTCTAGAAACATCACTCTACACCTGCCAGTTTGGAGATGCTCTAACTCTCATCTCGCGATCACAGTTTGGCCCTTGTCAAAGTTGTTCAGATCCATACTCTGGCCCATGTTAGTGCTTCCAACACACTAACCCTAATAAATTACTATTTACTTGCTGCCTAATATATCCCACCCTTTGAGAGGTGCTACTTTCATGAGAAAATCAATGTTGGTCACTTAACACTTCAGTGCTTTGTGTGTTATGGCTGAAAGCATAAATGTCTGTTACATCTTCAACAAATATGGTTAATTGTCCCACACTGATAAATGATGCATTGCCTGAAATGTTTGCATTATAAATTCTAGATGTTTAATTATACATTGCTGGTTGTCCGGTACCCATGAGCTATAGTGGAGTAAAAGTTTAATTGAGAAAGCTTGAGTTAAATCTGGTTCCATACTGTGTGTGTGTGCAGCGCTCCAGGGCAGCCTTGCAGAGGTACCTATTCTACTGCAACCGCTACATGAACCACATGCAGAGCCTGCGCTTTGAGCACAAGCTCTATGCTCAGGTCAAGCAGAAGATGGAGGAGATGCAGCAGCACAACATGTCCTGGATTGAGGTGCAGTTTCTGAAGAAGGCTGTGGATGTGCTGTGCCAGTGCCGCTCCACACTCATGTTCACTTACGTCTTTGCCTTCTACCTCAAGAAGAACAACCAGTCCATTATTTTTGAGGTATGTATATAAGAGACATTAAATTCACAGAACAGTTTGTGCTGTTTATCCATTATAATATAATCTGAACTAATCGCTGTTTTCACACCAAAGAATCAGACTAAAAACATAACATGAAAGCAGTGACAAACCCATGTACTGGAATAGGCTAGAGAAAGCATACAACCTTTGATGATGTAACCAGTGACATCATCAACACTTGCCAAGTTTAAAGTTGATCGGCTCAGTGGTTGTCATGAAAACTGTTATCTATGAGCTGTGCTTCAGTCTTGCTTCAGTGCTTCAGTCTTTCAACTCGGATTACATTATTTAATATTCATAACAATTGTAAAACCACATTTCATTACTCAAAATGTCAAAATATCATCCTACATATTATAAGATTACAATGCCAACATTACCTTTCTTCTTGTCTTATTCACATACGCTCTTGACGCGTTTGATCCAATCCCAACACTTCTCTGTACAGTCATATTTTTTTTTGGGAGACAGATTATACCAGGATGTTCTGGTCACATTTCCATTCATGGTTCTGCTCTGGCAGCAGATCTACTCTACTGACCAACACAGTCAGCTGGTTGTTGGGAGGGGCAAATGGGAAGAAATGGGCTCACAGTTCCTGTAGTCTGAGTTGGGCCTTATGCAGGACATCATGGATTACTGACATTTCTGTAGTCTGTGTTGGGACATAAAATATTTTTTGTCACCTTTTTTTTTTTTTTTTAAGAACAACCAGGCAGACCTGGAAAATGCCACTGAGGTGCTGTCTGGCTACCTAGAGCGGGACATATCCCAGGATTCCTTGCAGGATATCAAGCAGAAAGTACAAGATAAGTACAGGTCAGTGAAGGAGGAATGGTAATCCCTGTCTTCCACTGTTTGTGCATTCTTGGACTAAAATGAATGTCTCTTGTGTCTGTAGATACTGTGAGAGCAGGCGAAGAGTGCTGCTACAGCACGTGCATGAAGGCTATGAGAAGGACCTGTGGGAGTACATTGAGGATTGAGGACACGTCCCAATGCAACGGACTCTTGAGTATCTTGACAAACTAGAGCGCTGATGCAATTTAACAGGGCAGCACTGGCCTTCTGCCACCTTCCTTTGGCAAAACAACCACTTTTGCATCATTTTTCCTGGATTTGTTTAACAAAATCTTAAAAGTAAATTATATTTAAATAAAAGGTAGAGTAATAAAAAGAAAGTGTACTACAGTATTGTTAGCAACAGAGTGGAGTCTTGAGAAAGCAGAAAATCCATCTTAAACAAATACATCTTTTTGGCTTGTATTGTAACACCTCCCCTGAACTATCTTATTTTCCTCTGTTTTTTGCTTGTGAATCTTTTCTGTTTTGATTTTGACTTTTGTTTTCCCATTAGTGTGAAAATGTTTTCAATACAGCTTTAATTGTCCTGGCCATGTCTGCTATATGTGGTGAGATCCTTGTCTGGGTGGCTGAATGTTAATAGGCTGATTGCAAAGGGGCAAAGACATTTCAGGGGGGTGGGGAGAAAAAAACATCATAGAACAAAATAGCAAGTCTGTATTTTTCAATTTGTAAATAGTCCTTATGCATGGAAGTTAAAGAGCAAGAGTGGCACGTGTTTGCATAATTTTGAAATTTTGAAATATTTATTCTTTACCAATATTGATAAAGGTGTACTTGCCATGTAGGTTGAGTCTGTGTGATCCCTCCACAGTTTGTGGGGGTTTGGTTTTTGGCAATAAGGCATTCGCCATATCATCCTCAGTCTCTTCCCAGCTGTGCACAAGTTACACCTTATCATTGGATCTAAATGGGGACTGATAGAAAGAATTTCTCTTAGTTGCCAAGCGATCAGATAAAGGATTCAGTTTTACAGTGCAAAGGAAAGGTCGTACGCACCGGTTCCGTGCCCCTCTATTCTAACCGTTTGCTGTACCCTCTTAGTTGTTGTTAGAGGTGTTTAACATATAAGAAGATTACTAATTATTTGCAAGAGCCAAACTGAGTGACATTCACTCTTCTTTTTTTTTTTTTTCTTTGTTTCTTTCTTTTTCTCTCCTCCCAACATGGCTTGGAGTAGCCCTCTTAAAGCAAAGCTTGCACCTTGGGGATTGAAGGAGGGTAATAGAATGCACTGACAGCACAGCTTTGTAGTGCTGCTAATTGGGCTGGATCACTGTCAAACAGGGTCAGGCATTTGCATTACTCTTGCAGGGAAGACTTGGACGGGATGGGGCTGACGATGGCCGCACCTCTTTGAAGCGATCTCTCTCCTTGCAGTGAGACTGAACATTGCTTTAAACAGAGCTACACAGATGGACTTGCGTGATTCTTTGGCAGATGAGGAATATAGGGCAAACTTCTAAAGGTTGTAGGACTGTTTTATAACGCTGATATGCTTTTGCATTAAAGACTTTTTTTTTTTCGCACATAGGTTGAGGATTCGACATTGAAATGTCAGTGCCCCTCCAGGTTTTGCATTGTGGTGGTTGCTCTGGTTGTCAAGCTCTATGCTTGTGGATGCTTGTTCATGTCTCTGGAATATGGCAGTCTTCACAAGATTGACTGGAGGGGGCATGAATACACAGGCACTGATACAAGTCAGGAGATGACACCAAAGTGTCAGCCATCATTAAAACACATCCTTTGTCCCAGTTTCCGATCTTTGGGGAATTCTCTCCCAAATGCTTCTTATGTGTTAAAACTCATTATTTTATCCTAGCAAATTATAAACTGTATTGTTTATTTGAATAAATGTCATGAGAAATCTCATTTTTGGGAGTACTGTGTGAGTCATTAGAGTAGGTTTGGTCTCAATCATATTAAGAACTCAAACATCCATGATGCATTTCTGCGCTATGTATTTTGCCAAGTAGTGTACTACAGAACTAGATAGAGCTGTCTTCCAGAATAGCGTGAATTTCAATTGGTAACTTATTGATTCATTTTGATTTTTAGATGTTTGCTTGTTTTGCACCACTTTTAATTTGCAGATTGTACGATAAACAATCAAGTGGTTGTTTGTTTGATGTCACTTTTTGAATTGATTTTGTCTCAAGTCACAAACCAATGATGGCACGCGTTGAATGGATGATAACAAAAAGATGGGCTCTTTTCACTAATCTGTCTTGCAGGTAACACAGCAGCTATCACTACGACCATTAGGCTAATACGCTCTCCTCTGTTTTCATTGTGTCTGCTAGAAGATAATAAACATTTCATAATGTTTGAAGTAACAGAAGCAGCTACTTACATTAATCTGAGACATCCAAAAACTTTTAATACTTTTCTACATATCTTTTCTTTATGCTATCAAAGTTGTTTTATTTCCTATTAGTGTAAATTGTGGGAGAAATTAGTTGTCTGTTTTGGAGAAAATATTAAAGTGCAAAATGTTGCAAACATTGTTCTGACATGGGTGGTTGTTTGATGATCGACAATGCTTTTTGTTGTAACAGCAGCCATTTTAATTAAATGAAGAAAAAAAATCTTTCCCCACAATCAATATGAGTTTTTAATCTGTGTCACATGTACAAGCTCTGCCATTCCCTGCCAATGCAGCAGCACTTCCAAAAGTTTCAAAAGGGGTTTTGCAACTCAAGCCTTGCCACTGGATGGGGACAAAGACACGGTCTCCTTAAAAGGTAATATTTACAGAAGGAACTGCTCTTTTTTTAAGTGCTTTGTCCTTTACAGCATGATAAAACTGACAAACTTGTTATCTGTAGTTTGACAGGTTAAAATAGTTCTTAGCTGCAGACAGATCGTATGGTCAGTGGTAACAACAGTCCACAGTTTTAAAAAAAATTATATAAAACTCTCAAAAATATGTATTGTCAGAAACCTATGGAATCACTCCATTTATTTATGACAACAGTGAAAGAAACAATTCAGTCTGCACAAGTCTTATAAAATGATACAAAAATTCAAAATAACATACAATGAAGTGAAAGTCTTCAGGTTCACAGTGATTGAAAACACTGCGACATAAGAGCATCTCAGCAGCCTGCGTGTCAACGAAGACAACTTGAGCAGATCAGTACAGAATATCTGAAAGTCCGTCCAGCCTCAGTAACACACAACAAAACAACCACAATCATCAGGGTAAAAAACAGAAGCCCTCTGCTATCACGACATGCTGACACTATTACTGTAAACCCACAAACACAGGGCTCGCACCGTCTAACAGTTAATTTGCTGGTTTCTTTCCCACTAGCAAATAAAGGGAAACTAAAAGATTAACTTCTCTTTTTTTAAACCAGAAAAGTTGAAAATGATTTAAAAGTCAAATGCAAAACTTCACATATGCTTAATTTTTTTTTCTTTTTTTAAAGAGTTGTATATTTATTTTTTTCATTATGGCTGCTGACCTTTCTGTGACAAAAACAAATTAGTTAATAAACCAGAAATGCCACATGAGTCAATGATAAGAGTAACAAAATGCTACATATGGTCCGTCTTTAAAGAAGAATGTGCCCTGTGGCTCTAAAGTGACAAAGCTGACCTACAAAAACAAAAATTCTGTCCGACTTCTTTATTCAAGAAGTCAAACAGATAATTTAAGGCCTATCAGCAAACAAACCATTTCCAAACTGCACAATTACCAAAACAAAACTGGCTGAGTGACATTTGTATGACGGAACTAATCATCAATTTTCAACCAGCCCTTTTTATAGTCTATCAGCAGCTCTAAGTAGTACTTCCACTCTGGCTCGCTGTCATACCTGACCTCAAATATAGTCTTTAGAGGGTTGGTGTGGGCCTCATGGACACGCAGCACCTCTCCTCTATACCACACTTCTGATTTGTCGTCTTCTTCATACAGGTGGCATATCCTCTTTCCCACTAGGTCAGGGTAGTAGATCCTCAGGGCCCTCTGAGCCCTCTGGACGGCCGAACGAAGCACCCATCGCCTCCTGTGCTCAGCGCTGTGGCAGGCAGACAAGTAGGGACAGTATTTGATCTTCAAGAGCGATCTGCGTTTTCTTTTGGAAGAGCTGCTGAGGGGTCTCAATGTGTGAGAGAAGCTACCAGTTCTCTGCGACTTGTGGGTCGCTTGGGGCATCCTCTTGTCTCCCTCCAATCCCTCGGTTTTTGAGAAGGAGGGATCATCTAATGTCCCAGAGTCTGACACCGTTTGGTAGTGGGCCTTTTTTCTGTTGAGGCCTTCGCTAAACATCCTTCTCAGTTTGAGAATCACGCCTGAGCAAGTCTTAGATCTAACCTGAGTCTTAGCTGATCCTACAGACTGATGAGCAGGCTGCAGAAGGGAGTATTCCTCCGTTTCTGTGTCAGTGGGAGACATAGAAAGCTCGTCCAAGGTTAAAGGACACATCCATGAATTCTCAGATGATAGGCTCAGTGAATTGAGTGAGGAATCCGGCTCTGCAACCGCACCGTCACTTCCTTTGTCCTTACTCACTTCAGACTGACTGGCTCTCAAGTTTCTCTTGCACAATTCTTTCAGCATTCCTTCATTTACAGAGTCGCCTGCTTCTTCCTTATCTGACAAACTGTTGTCCAGAAACCTGCGCCTCGAGCTGCTCTTTACCCTGCTTTTTGTTGTGTTAGTGTTCAATTGTGGTTTCATTTCCACGTCCTTTGCGTGTCCCTGTGGACGTAACTCTGGGGGGGAGACTGGTGAGGCGCTGATGTCTGAAAACACTGGGGCCTCCTCACTACCGTCGTCTTTCTCCCCATAAGCAGGATCGTCCATATCTAATCCTGCAACACAGGGAATAAGAAGAAGTCAAAACAAATACACAAATACGTCACATGTATAGGAAATAATTAATTTGCTGAAAAAACAGGAAGAGTTAAAGCGTTTATAGAATTTGGTCAGAGAGGGATGTTCACATGTTTTAAGTCCTAAAAAGCCAAGCTACCAACTACATAGTCCAACACCTCAGCACAGGTTGACAAATCGAGCTTATTCTGCACACGAGAACAAGGAGAAACCTGTTTTATTAATATCAGTAGATACGGTAACTGAGAGCAGAATCCCACACCATGAATCACCCTTTCTGCAGTGAGAGAGAGAGAGAATAGAAGTCTGTGGGAGGAAATGTGTAGGCTGTGGGGGGGGGGTCAGCTTCTACAACGGATGCCATCAGTCGAGGATAAAACAGCATCGAGTCGAGGGAAATGTTCAGATACCACGGTCAAGAGCTCCCAAGTCCCAACTGCTAATAAAGTCAGCACTGAATAGAAACCTGATTAAACCCAATGCAGTTAGTTGCAGTTAGCCTGTGCCAAATAAAATGAAAGCTGACAAAAGACATGAAGTAAAAAGGCTAAAAGATAATGGACAAGTCTGGTGATGCTCTACATTTCTCCCTGGTGACAAGGAAAGCACAAAAACATTGAATTGATCCTTCTCAGCATGGAGCGTTACTGACCCTGTAGTGTGAGGGGTTTCAAATCTTAATGTCAGCGACTGAATCAGAGTCCGTCTGTTTTAAAAAAGTACATTTTTGATATTTGCAATTCAATTATTATTGGCTATCAGGACATGAAAAGGACCTCAACAAATCATAATCATTGAGATTTGAAAATTGGTTAGTGTGCAGCAGGCATTATTTAACTGAGGATACTATACTGAGTTGATCAGCATGGACAGTTTATTTTTTTACTCTCCTTCAAAGTCTCCTGCAACTTCAAATGCTATCTAACAACTAACTAAACAAATATTCAGCTGAAAATAGTCAAAACTAACTGAAGAAAAAAAAACACATTACTGGTTCGGCTCGTTTCATTTGATTTGACTATAACGAAACAGATCATCATCGGTCTTGTCTTTTAAACTCACGATGATGTTCACAATCTTCAACACAAAGGGCTCAGAAACATGCCAATGCTCAGTCTGATCCTCAGTGTGCTGCAGAATGTCCCTTCCTTCCTCCTGTGCTATGACCCAACAGCTGGACCTACACTCTGCACCCCTTCCCTCCACCCATCTATAACAATGTAGTCGTGTGATTGGTCAGTGGCTGTGGGCACAAACTGTTGGTGTTATATAAAACAGGGAAAAAAAAAAAGCAAAGAACAGGAGATCGAGGGACAACATAAAAAAATTAATATACCTGGACTCTCTTTTGGACGTCAGGTGAAGTTGATTCTGTAAAAAATAAATGGATTTTATATTGAATATGTATGTATTGAATGAATATGTTGCTCTGTTCTTTACAAGAAAGGGCCAGTAATGCAGAACATATGACTAAAAGGCAGCTTGAAGGAAAACTAGATACAGTTAGCTGTCAATATGTTTTATTCTAAAATCCACACAAATCTCTAAATCACACCCAAAGGGGATTTCCAAATATCTGCAAGGGAAGGCAGGAAGCGCTGTAACTTTGGCCATCATGTTGCACACACAGTGCAACAAATGATCACAGTAAAGAAGCACGTGTCAGGAAACAAGGATTTGTACGTGGAACAGCATCATATGAATGATTTCAATGTGTCTTGTGATCCATTATAAGCAACATTAAGAACAACAGACGTAATTTTTCCCTCATGACTTACATTTGTATGACTGCCAGACAAATAAGCTGTGCTTAACTGAATAAATAAGTTGCACTCTCAAAACTGAAAAGCAGAAGTAGTCAAATTTTATTTTAAAAGTTATTTGTGTCAGCAACGTATGTGTCTATTCTCTTTTCATTTCGTGTCTCCTTCACCAACATGTTTGCTTCAGTGTTCGTCATTGGTGGTTGGTGTCCAGGATACCCCAGGAGGGGTAATTAACACAACTGTTGCTCATTGTGACATGTCTCATGTGTGTGCCTTGATACTACCAAGAGACTAAATGCCATGTTTACATCCCAGGGTGTCATGAATATGGAAAATGGTCATTTTTCTTTTTCAAAAAGACTAAAACTTCCATTCCTACCTTTCTTTCTTTACTTTGAAGAAATTCAATGTACTGTAACTCTGACATGCACTTACCCAGGTGTTTGCAGACACAAGAGTAATACAAGATGTTGACCACGTCTGCGTAGATGTCAGGCAAGTGTTTGAGGGACATCAGCCTCCTGAGGCGGGAGGAGCAGGCCCGTTTGTGAAGCTGGATGAGGATCTTCTCTTCGGACAGCGTCGTAGGCCGAAGCGCCACTTTGTGCTCGTGCAGGACCTGGTCGATGAAGCTGACCTGGACCATCGGGAACAGCAGCTCCTTCATCACCAGCATGGGCAGGAACACCGCCCCCGTCCGCATGACGTGCGGAAAAGGACACAGCTCCTGGGCGGTGTACTCTTTCAGCCTCTCCAGGACCTTGTGGAGAGCAGACTTCATCTCCTCGTTGAGCCACACCTCTCGGGCTCTCGCACCCAACAGACACGACACTTTCTGGACTTTGGTTGAAGCGGATGCAGGCTCTGTAAGTGGCAACTCGGACAACCAGGTTCTGAGCTCCTGTTCTGAAGAGGCTGACACAGATTTTGATATCAGCTTGCAGAGGGAATGGTGTAACTCAAAGAAATGCTTGCGGACTGGCGTTTCAGGCTCTTGTTTTGGAATCATCTCAATTACTGGCTGTGCAGGTGGTTTCTCAGGTGGTGGTGGAGCAGGATTGGAATGTTTCATATCAGGGAGAATGATTCTGTAGCTGGAAAGTTTTAAACACTGGGGAGGAATGTTTTTGAAATTTAGTTTGCTCTCAGGTGGCTGAGGTGGAATAGTGGGTTTGGATTGAAGGGTTGACACCCGCTCCTTCAGTGTGCTTGCATCACCCTCAGAATACAAACTCTTCTTTCCAGTCAACTCAACGGTTTTTGACTCATCTGAAGTCTCGCTTTCATCTGCAACTGAGGCTTCGATTTCAGGTTCATCAGGTTCACATTTCTTTATCACCAACATGGGCACACAGTCAGAAGAATCAGCCTCTTCAGGCTCTTGTTTGATTGTAACTTTGATGCAGTGCTTCTGACTAACAGGAAACTCTTCTGTGTCCGATGGATCGGCTTGTTCCACTTTAATAACTTTCTGTTCAAAGGTTTCAACAACAGCCTTCTCTGTGGGAGTATCTGGACAGATTTTTTTGGGAACGGGACAGACAACAGGCCGCTGTTCGTCTCCATCTGACTTTTTTGCTTTGAAGTCTGGCTTGGGCTCAGAGGACTGGATGCTTCTTACAGGCGCTCTGCCCGGAAATAGCACTCCAGAGACCTGCAGGTACGCTTGGTACGGTGCCAGGCTGAAGACGCTGTCAATGACAGGCAAAGGAGGAGAGACAGTTTTATTTCCTGCTTGTACATTCTCCATTTCCACCTTTTGTCGTTTCTTCATGAGTCCCACTTCACATAAATCCCTACCCTCTTCTTTTATTTTGACTGGTGGCGATGGATAAGAAATGCTTCTCTTCAGGCAACCTTTAAGAACCGAGCTGCCTGAAGTAGACGTGGGGGCATTGTCATTATTTCCTGTTGCATTAACAGGGGAATAAATAATTTTTCTGACATTGGCACTATTGGCTACAGCTGCGTGGATGCGATCAGCACTGTGACTGGGAGACTGTGGAAGCCATGCCGCCATGGAAACAGGATGCTGTGTGGCCTGGGCTTCACAGGAGGAATAGTCTGTGAGTCTTTTCAAGCCACCAGGTGAAAGGATGTGTGGGTCCATGTGCCAGTTGGAGAACGAGGGGAAAGGTCTGTTTACTTTTATCATGGGAAGTGAGAGGCCAAGTTGGCTGCCACATCTGGTGGGACTGGTTAGAGCCACGCCACGGAACGGTGAGTGAAGTTGTGACTGGGCGACGTGCAGGCTGCTGTTGGCTTTGTCCTTATGTGGGTTGGTTGCAGAGGTTAAGGGGTGATCCATACGTTGTCTGGTTGGGGACAGATTTATGCCATTACTGTGAAAACTAGGCGATGCATGTGGCCTTTTTTGGGGTGCTCTGATATGGCTTGGGATTACATTAAATCTAGGTACTGCATAACATGGATAGTCAAAGCCCTGTATAAAGGAATGGTTTGGTAATGTTTCAGTGCTAGGCAAAGGAATTTCACCACGAAATGACTGGGGCACGATGTAATGGTCCCTGGGGTTCGAACTTGTGTGTTTAAGAATAACAGGGACATCTCTCTGCTTACTGCCCATGTTTTTACACCGTGTGCTGTTTTGTACCTCCTCATTTGCGTGGGTGTAGTAAAACACTGGGTGCTGTGTTAGCTGACCATATTTGGACATGGGAGAGCGTTCCTGATAAACCTCTGAGGTCATATGCTCGTATGGAGGATGGGAGGGGTATTGGCTGGGGTAGCCTCTAGGGGAAGACTGTAACCGTTGGCTCTGCTCGCTTAAAGAACCAAACAGAGTGCGAGTCGGGGTGCAGGGGTAACTGCTGTAGTTGGGGTCAATCACTGTAGGCAACGTCCTCCCTGCACTTGGGCTGTACGTCTCCACGCTGATCCTCTCCAGTGGTTCAGCACTGGGATCAAACTGTAAACCTCTCTGCTGCAGCAGCACCTCTTGTGTCTTTGTCTGGATAGCTGGTCTTTCAGCGTAGTGGGCATCACTTTGCATCCAGTCGTGCTTGTATAAAGGGTTTGGTATCCTCGGGGAGCCATGCTCCACACTGTATCGGTGCCCTATAACGCAGCCCAGCTCGTTACAGCAGGGGTTATGTCTGTAAACTGGCTTTGGAATTGCAAGGTAAACAGAGTTTTCGGATGGAGGAGATGAATTCTCACCTCTGCTTGTATGTTTCCTCACAGCAGCTGTGGGGCTGCCCAGCCCTGGACTTTTAGTGTATAAGGTAAAGCCCTGTTTAACTGGGCTGTGACACCGGGAGGAAGACTGAGAATGATGGTCCTCTGGAGAATTGCTGTCTTGCCTGTAAAATATGTGGTTTTGCCCCTCCATGCCAGAGAGGTGACTCATAGGACTTCGGCCATCCTGCAGCGAGGTCTTTGAGCTGCTCCACGGTGGAGTGAATCCTGCGCCGTCCTTTCCTCTGGGGTCATATGTTAAGTAGGCCCCGCTGTACTGCAGCGTCTGCTTATCCAGGTAGCCAGACATATTTTGCGGCTTTGGTACAACTGTGGCTGCTGTAGTCCCGTCGAATAAAGGCATCTTGCTTTGAAACGCTGGGCCAACAAGGGTATGTATGGCCTGGCTGTTCATCATGTTGTAACTTTGTTGTGATGGTGCACGGATGTGGCTGCAGATCTAAAAACACAAAAATAAAACAAGAATGACACACTGGCATTATTTTTTAACAATGTTTTGCTAGATTAGTTCAAGAGATTAGTCTCTTTCATTAGCTGGGATACACCCAAGTCATTAGACATGAGGGCAGAATACATAACAGAAAAATACACTTCACACATTTAAAGGAATTATTGTTATTTAACTTCTTACTTGAGGCATTTTCTAAACATTGAAAGATCTTGTATGTATGTATGTATGTATGTATGTATGTATATATATATATCACATGTATGTCCTTATCAGCTGATACACACTGGTGGTGAAATCCATCTATGTTCCCCTCATAGACCGATAATAATAATTTTACATAAGGAACGGATGAGGATGCACATCGTCCCTTATTACCTGCAATTATTTATGTCAGTCTCAGACATTGATTGGATTTTTTCTGGGTTCAATTTACAATAGGTCATTAATGTCAGCTACATTCTTTACTATCAGCTCCATATTATAAAAAAGGCTGTATCCAACACAGTTACATTTCATATTCCATATTGTTTAAATATATTCAATTATGATTACTATTAATTAATAGTTAGACATCTCCCAAATCTAATAAAGTCAGAAACAGAGGCCGCTCAGTTGGACTGACAATCCATAAGAATGCTACTCAATTAGAATCGCCCCACTGTGAAACTGTAGGGGGAGACAAATTCAATTTAGAAAAGTATGATACCATTATGTTTGAGACAAAGCAGATGTTTTGAACCCTAAAGGAGGTGGAGAAACCCACCTCCTGATTGGCTGAAAGAGCAACAGCACAGACGAGGGGGGGCAATATAGGCAGAAGGTTTCAGGCTCAGTCTTCAGTTGGGTTCAGGAACCAGCCTGGGTTTGCATCTTATGAAAGCATAAACTTCTGCATTGAACTTTGACCATCTCCAGTGAATTCTTTTTACCAACTATTGAGATTCCAGTAACAGTAAAGTGCATGTGTTAGAAAAGAAGCCTAGACTTAGTATGTGGCCCATTGTTAGAATTTTTACTTCAACAAGACAGTGTTAACAACCTAATCTGATTGGTCAGATCAGATACTGGGCCAGAATGTGTCATGCATCACACCAAAAAGGTTCGATTCCCCTTTAATCACAGCAGAACTTATCACCTGATCAGTCACACACACGTCATCCTGTGCTGGTCCCGAGACTCAGCCTGAAACTCTCTATTCTGCATTTCATTACCAAGCAGTTCATTTTTAACACACACCACTGAAATAACTATTGTTTTCTTTTTGAATCAATGTGCTGATTATTTTGTCGATCGTAATTTTCCAGAACACACTGTGATGTCTTCTGATGGTGGTCTGACGCTTAAAAGTGGCTGGAACCAATTAATAGTTGAAAATGTTTTTCAAATGATGAATAACTGTTCAAAATAGCTGCTGAGCAATTATCTACAGATTTTTTTTCAATTGATTATCTGTGGTACTTGAAACTAATTATTGCAATATCATTCTATACTTACTACATTTACTATACAATTATTTGCAATATCTAGAGAGTGAAATAATGACTAATATACAGAAGTGCAACTTTTTCACAACTTTATCTTACATGCATGTTTTAAGACCTTATGAAAAGTGATAAATAGATGTTTGAGGTGTGTCACTGCAGCTGCTGGTCTCATATTAGTCATGTCATATTAGTCACTTATGAGAAAACAGTATATGTCAGACTTGTATATGCACATACACACATACAATATTTATGCATTCATGACACTGATTATTTGTTAAGGGTTGGGAGTCCATTCAATTTGACACATACTTATACACGTGTTTATATATGTTACAGAAGTTGAAAGGAATATATCTGTCCCTGACTGTACCCCTTCTATCTATTGATTTCTGTAATGTTTTTAATGCTGTTGCACAGCACCTTGAATCTACCTCTGTGTATGAAATGTGCTTTATAAATTAAACTGACTTTATATTAATCCATGCTTATCTCCCAATTTTGGCTTTTCCCACGGGCACTTGAAGGCAGCGCATGTTATCTGACAGTGTGTCAGCTTGTAGGAGGAGAAAGAAAGATGACCTCATCACGTGATGAACTCATAACGCTGCCACACAAGAATCTGCAAGAACCGGCCAGGCAACCAAACTACATCCTCAATTATTTATTGTTAATTTCTGGCTCCTCTCCACTGAAACTCAAATTATGGCCTCTGAGTGGCACATGCAAAGGTTGGCATGGGCCAATTTTAAATTCAGATCTCAGGAACCTATGAGCAAAATGTGTCTAAACTGAAATAGTGATGACATATGTAACACCTCTGGATTTTGCGAACACAGCAGTCCTGCCAGATGTTATCAGCGCATCCTGTTGACACCTTTCAGACAAAAGACATTAAAAAAAGAGGTTTATTTGCGCACAGCGAAGAGTTCTGTGGGTTGTACGTGCGTGGAGGAAACTGCGCGCGGAGGTGTTTGCAGCAACAGTCTGTGTGTGTGTCTGTCTGTGTGTGTGTCTGTCTGTGTGTGTGTGTCTGTATGTGCGTCTGTGTGTGCATTTCCAGATCTGTGGGGGCATGCGGGGCTGTTGGAGACTTCCGAGAGCAAACCGTCCAAACGCACAAACCACGTGGAGGGAAAAGAGCGTGGGAAAAAAAATCCCACGGCTTATGTTTTAAAAACGTTAAAATCATTTATCTGATTATAAATTAAGTGTGTCAGGTCCAGGGTGGCTGAAGGATTTCAACACGTTCGCATAAAAGATGGTGTCAAGGTTGACTCAAAATAAAAAACGGAACTTCAAAAAGTTTCTTGTCAGCTTGTTTTGACAGACAGGTTCTAGATAACTATGGAGCGAGTGTACGTGCTGACCAGGAGCAAAAACACATGCCATGTACTTTCGTTAATAGTGTCAAAATAAAGAAAGGACGCAAATATTATTCAAAATGATAATTAGCAGACGTCAGTCCCATACAAGCTGTGAAAGTGACATTTCAACACGAATCAAACTGAAACCAATCCGTGCGTAAAAACGCAACGCGAATACAAATGTTTGCCACGGACGCGCTGACTTGTATATAAAATTGTTCCACATGCTTTCCTGTTTGTTGCACCTTCTGCTCTTCCCCTCTTTCGCAATCTGCGGCACAGTATCTGCCTCGCATGAGTGGGTCTGAGCGGTAAATCAAACTTTCCTTACCTCGCTGCTGTGATGCCAAAAGGTGCCTTCCACAAAGACTCCATGAACCACGGCTGCTCAGAAGAAGAAGTGAAGGAAACAGTCTGTCCTACAGTCTATGGTCCTCTGTCTGTCTCTGCTCGTCACACAGTGGACTTGTGTCAGGCCCGGGTGCGCCAGAAGAAGGGGACAAAAAGGAAAAGTCCCTGAATGAAGTGAGAGGGAGGCCTGGCACAGGGTGTGAGGCTGGAGCGGCGCGTCCTGCGTCCACGCTGTTGCAGGAGAAGTTAACAAACCGAGGAGAAGACAAAAGGGAGGAGGAGGAGGAGGAGGATGGTCCTTGATCAATAGGCGGAGTCACACCCTCTGTCTGTTTTGTGCTCATGTGATGTTTTCCTGCTGCTCACTTTCTTAACTGTATTGGCTCGATCCACTGCTGCTGTCGCCAAAACAAAGGATGACACATCAATGAGTCATGTTTATTATAATTCCTGGACGAGTGAAACAAGTTGTGGGCTGTTGTTTTTTTTCCCACAGGTTTCACTCCTGTTCCCAAACAAGAAACATTATGTGTTCCTTATATCTCCATGCAGGGCCATTCTTGTGATAAATGTGTAAAACTAGACTTCTTCATAGCCACTGATTGATTTCATTACTGTACTCAAACACATTTTCCATGCATGTTTTCTTAAGTAGATTTCTGATGGGGTATTTTTTACTTTTACTCCATTACATATATCAGCATATTTCTGTACTTTGTATTCCTCTACATTTTTACAAATCATTTTGTGACATACCAAAAATTGATCAGGTCTTCACCAAGACTCTTAATATGACAACACAACTCATAGAGCATTCATCATAATATAAGAGTCTTGAGTTAAACAATATATAGTAGGCACGGTTAATGATGTAGTAGACTGTTGCATTAGCAAATAGGCTAGTAGTATTTATACTTTAAATACTTACATATTTTTACTTAAGTATAAAAGTTCGTGTGATTCCTTATAATTTTGCATGAGTAAACTATCTATTTGTACTTTAACGTAAAGTTAAACTGTGGCTGAGGGGTAGCGCGGTTGTCCTCCAACCAGAAGGTCAGCGGTTGGATCCCCAGTCTTCCCCATCTGTATGCTATATAAATTTATGACAGGACACTAAATATCACAATGTCATCAGTAAGTTCTATTAAGATATCATTAAGACAAAATGATAAATATATTGTATATAAATATAACATCAGTAAGATGACTTTCGGAAATATATGGATAATCATGATACCATTAGTTTGGACAAAGAACGAACAGACACCATTATAAAATGACATGAGGGAAATGATTTAAAAAGGAGTAGGTGGAGATCTCTCAAAGTTTAAAAGTGAATCCTCATTTCAGTTTGATTCCAGTGAACTACACAATATATACTACAGTCTTAGGCACAGAGAAAGTTAAGGTTTATTAGTACACAATGCTGTTGTGACTTGAGGGAATGAATTGGATTAAATTCTCATGACATGATCATGTGCTGACCTCAAACACACCAGTGATACTTGTTTGTATTGGCAGGTGTAATGCTTTAGAATGGGTGCATTTCCAATTATTCCTCAGAAAATTAAGTGTGCATAAAAGAGTTGAGGATGATAATTTAAAAAAGAAAATGAATAGAAATAGTTTCTTTAAATGTAATAGTGCTGGTGGTTCCAGTACAGCTCTAATAGAGATTCACCATTTGTTGGACTCATAATAGTTAATATAGTTAATAATTGACTTCATTTGACCAAAGTTAAAATCAGGTCAGTCATTACCTTAGTCAGACTGTTCTTCCTTTTTTTTTTCAACTCCTCTCATCATGTCCCTTTCTTAGTTTATCCACGAGCACTGACACACATACGTACAACACACTTCATTTTTATATTTTAATACAACTGGTTAAGTAGTTTGATAAGATCATGAGGCTGAGATATATTAAAACCTAAATTCTTCCACTTGATTTACTCTCTGAATGAGTTCATGTCTTGTTGCACTTGCATCATTCCAGTCCCTCTTCACCCGTGAGCTGGAGTCTCATTTGCCTGTCCCACGGGGGCTGCAGTAGTTTGGTCTAGACAAGTTGGTGGCTTCCATCAGTCCCCGTGGCCTCGCAGGTAAAGAGATGCTCATCAGGGGGGTTTGACTGAGGAGGGGAGGCGGGGACTTTTCCCCACTGAGCACTCTCACATCTCCCCCATTTCCAGTTACCATGACATTACAGCTTCAGGTGAACCAACACAAGGCGTCAAGGGGCTAACAATGTGCCATATGGGTACAACAACACAGGTCTTCAAACATAGAACGGAAAAAGGATGCTTTACACTTGTTATAGTCAGTTTTAGAAATATGTTTCTAAACGGGACAGGAAAATAAACACAGGCAAACAATGCTGTGTTCAAAGACACAAAAGTGAAAAGCTGTAGCCAAAAAAGTTTCTGTATATCTTCTATAGAAGCATACTGTTGGTAAGGTTTAATATTATTTTCCTTTGTGAAACTGTTAAATGTTGAGTACATAACAACTCATAACATCCATTTAGCAGACAAGGTCAATAAATTAATTTAAAAAGGGTTTCCTGTTCAGTAGGTTTATATATATATATATACACACATACATATATATATATATATATATATATATATATATATATATATATARACACACARARARATATATATATATATATATATATTATATATAGGAGATATATGCTGTTTCTAATGACAGAGCTTTTTTGTGTAACATACAGAATCCATAATTCATACAAATAAGATGTAAACAATATGTAAATATAAGAACAATGTGTCATACATTCAGGACACAATGCCATTTATTCATTCCCTCTTGTTCCTGAGTGAAGCCACGCAGTGCTTACCACTTTTAAACGTCAATAAAGTGAGTGGTGGACACGGGGGGAGAAGGGGCCAGTCTCTGAAGATGGAGCTTCTGATGAAACACTGTTGAACATTCCCAGAGGCCAGAAACTACACGTTGAGCCTTGAGACTGCTCGAGTTGCATCAGTCACATGAGATGCATGTGTACCTGAATATGCACATATTGCCACAGAGAACAAGATTGCATGTATGTAGTGGTTTGCACAGAAGCTAATGTTTAACCTAAGCCATACAATCGCAAAAAATGTATTAAGTCTTAGTAAAAATAGGTAAAAGTCCTATTTTGTATATACTATATATATGTGTGTGTGTGTGTGCGCCTCAAATCTCTCATTTAAAGGTCCAGTGTGTAAGATTTAGGTGACTAATGGCAGAAATTTCATATTCTACATTAAATTTCTGCCATTAGTTCCTCATGTTTTCACTAGTTCATCTAAACTGTATGAATTGTAGTTTTCTTTACCCTAGAAAAGGCCCTTTATATTTAAATACTTTATATTTACATCGAGGGGGTCCTCTCTACGGAGGCCGCCATGTTTTTTACATTAGGCCAGACTGGACAAACTAAACACCTTTTGAGTTTTTATGACAATTAAAGGCTACCACAGGTTCTTCTTCATGTTTGGAAGGAGAGGGTGAGGTGAGGGGTGTTCAGCTGCAACATGCAATTTCAACACTAGATATCACAAAATTCTACACACTGTAGCTTTAAACCTTGGAACTACAGTACATAATACAATAACCTCTGTTTAAAACTATGTGTGTTTCCAAAAACCAGGTGTGTCACATGTTATTTTTACTTCCTGCTATTGATTGTATTCATTATATTTCATGGTCTGAGATGTGTTGCTTAACATTGTTCTTAGAACAACATGTTCCTTGTTCTCAGCTCCCTCCATTATGACCAGATGACCTGAGTGACTAAAGTTAAAAACATTTGAAGGTAACGAGTTATGAGGGAATCACTGGTGACAGTGAAGCATGAAGGCTGCTTTGTGATGAGCGGGTGCTGCAGGATTAGTCTCTTCTTGTTTTTTTCATGTTCGGTCACATTCGCCTTCATCTAGAATTTGAGGAATGCAGAACAAAAACAAAAAGATTTGATGGAGCTGGGTGTGATCATATTATCTGTGACAATGTTCACAAATGTCTTGCAGTAAACATTATTTTTCAATAAACAGGAATTGAAGTGGCAGGAGCGAGGAGCAACATGTTTTGTCTTAAAAAGCACAGCCACAGCCATATCTGCAGTTTTGCTGATTTGACTATAGTTGTGAGAACACAGTGTTTATTTCCATCATGCCCACCTTGCAGGCCACACACCCTCCCACAGTGCTGTCAAGGCCACAGTGAAAATCCCTCCCCTCATCCCTGTGGCTGATGTAACTCGCCTCTCTGGCCTCATTAGCAGAATCACACTTGCGGCAGCCAATCGTAGGAGGACAAATTATGGCTCAGGGTAGGATGCTTTTCGTTTTTGCAGAGCCATTCATAAGGCTCCATGTGCTGCATGCACCTCAGCTCAACAGTAGCAATGCCCTGGGGTTATTTGCAAACCAAATTTCTCCCCTGTTTACCTTGGAATTGGAGGCAACAGAGATACCAAGATAAAATATAAGGGCATGGAGAAAAGAGCAGGAGAGCCAAGTTTGAATATATCCGTTATTGACAATGTCTGAGAAATAATATCTGGAGCTCTAGTCTAAAATGCTTGTTATACTTCAAATAGGAGACATACCTCCAATATGAGCACCCACAAGGTTCAGCTGCTTTAAATGACACAGTTGTTACTCTGCTTTTTCTCACAGATACAATATAAACAAACCATTGTCTGGTTTGGTTCAACATGCTCTCGTCTGTCTTCACTTGACACAGTCCAGACTGCTACATTCACTCTGTTAGGAGATGGAGGCTTTTCACAAAGATAAACACACCTAACACTAATGTGAACCATGGGCTTCATCACTTTTCACCTTTGATACTTGAAGTCATTTTTTAACAAAAGAAAAACCCCCAATTCAAAAGATGTTTTCCAAAGGTAAAGTAAAAGTGCATCTTGGCTGAAATACGGCTGTAATTAGCACTGCGATGGTCACTGAGGCATGTGTACCTCAGTTAACAGTTTTGATGTGTAAAGCCAGTCTGTGAAACTGCCTTAAGGGACAATACTTACCGCTGCTTTCCCCTCTCATAATTAACCCCATAGGCACCATGACAGCTAAAAGAAAATGTTGTTCACTATAAAATTACATGCACATGCATTTATTTATTGCATAATGACTAGTTTGCTGAAGCACACCCGCACAATGCGACGCAGTGAACATTTGTTTCTCTGCACACTACAGGATCTAATCTCATCGCACAATGAAACCTCTTTATATACAGTCTATGAATGAAACACAAAAACTCTTTTTTTCAATGTCCATTTTGCTATTCAGAATAAACAAGAGAAGATAAAATGTTCACAAACATGGGTGAAACTTTGTAAACAGTATTTTTAATCCGATGTTTTGTATTTTACCTTTAATAATGACAACATTCATATTCATCATTCTGTTGTAAAAAGACACAATTCCAATATAAGAAGGTGCAACAAGTGGCCATAACTGTAGTGATTCTTTTGGTATTGATCAAGCTTCTTTCAAGGAGCACATTACTACACAATCTTTTGAGGCACTGTTTCTTAACCAACTTCTTGAAATGAAACAGACATGACTGAGATGCATAGTGAATATTTGCAGAGTCGGAGTGACAAGGCAGATCTGTGTGGCAGACATTTAGACCATAAAAAAAACTCTAAATGCCTGAACTGCATTTCTCAGCTCATGTGTGTCAGCTGCATGAAGTCAACAATGAAATTTTACTTTGTTAACAGAAATGTAACATTATATACTATTGTGTAAATTTGGTATAAACATGTCTCTGTTGAAAAGGGGTACAACAATAAAGTCAAAGAGATGCCAATTAATACCAAGAGGACAAGTCATTATGAAAAATCATTGTAGTTCATTTTAATGGGTCTTTGTTGGCTTCTGACTGCAACATGACGTGGCATTCAAGAATTTTCTGAGATGACTCATCTAGTCTCTGAAGATACTGCTTGACAACGCTGACGATAGTTGTCACCTCTGCCATGCCGCCTTTTCCTGAAACAAAATGAAGAATTACTGGTTCCACAAACATCTTCTGCAGGGAGGGGACAAATGATTCAAAAGTACAGAGCGTACATTTCTCACAAACACACTTTAATGAATACAGGTATATAATTCTGTACTCCCACAGGGTTTGCATATCTCCAGGTGTGTGAGGTAGGTTTTGTTTAGAAATTACCAGTGAATCAATGAGACAAAGAACTATGAGAAAACGTGCCTGTGCAGAGACTTACACTGTTGCACTGTTGATGCAAACTTTACACTTGAATTTGAATATTTTTTGTTGATATATCATTCTTTAAATCTTTTTTAAATCTTCATATGCCTGCTTTACATTTGAATTTCTTCAGAAGAACAGTGTTTTTCATTACTGTGGTTTGTGCAAGCATTACAAACGATGATCATACATATGCTGGAGGCATTTTTTGGTTGCATTTCATGGATGGATTGACGTTTTTTCAACTGTCAATTGCCATTTAAGCTTTTTTTTTGTGTGGAAAATTCCTTCATCTCCGTACTTGAAGCCATCTGGAAAGTGAGAACGTGGGAGTATGTTGTACATCTAGTGATAAACACACCTGTAGGAGGCACACCTTACAGGAGACTAAAAAAGTTCCCATATAAGTTGGTCAAGCACACCAAACCTTTCTTGAAGCAATTCTCGGGGGAGCAACATATGTGTCGTCTATATTGCATGTTTGCTGACACCCACAGAGGTGTTATACAGTACAATAACACTAACGATCACACTGAGTGCATCACTGCAGCAAAGTGTGAAGTTCAAACACTGTGGAGGAAATATAAGTGGCTTATTTACAGCAACAGTGAAAATTATACATTTTGAAACCTGTTTTTACACAACAAAATAACCACTTGCACAATTTGTTTTAATCTGCGGTGTGCAGTGTGTCTTGTTATGCAACTTTCATCTATGCTGTTCTGTCTGTTTCAATTTACTCACCATTGAACAATGGATGTCGTGCTTTACCCTGTGCTTCTACTTATACTCTGTTTGTACATGATTTGCATATAACAAACTGTTAAAGCAACAATAAGACCTCATATTAAAAGACATTAATGCAGTTCATCAGCAAGGAGATGATGTTTTCATCAGCATTTGTTTGTTAGCAGTGAATATTGATGGATCTTGATGAAAATTCAGGCATTATAAGGGGAACCAGCTCTATTAGGAGACTGTTGGGCCTTGGCCTTGGTACGGAGTGCAATTCGAATTCAAACTGTTGCAATTTAACTATATTGTTAGCATTTTATTATCTTTTTTCCTTATTCTTTTTGAAACTCACCTTCATCTCCACAGGCTAACTTTTTAAATATGCAGGGGATTTCCACATATCCAAACTCTTTCAGCCTGGTTACCTGCTGGGCTGTAATGGGATGCTGCCACATAGCTGTATTCATCGCAGTGCAGAAGAGCAGAGGTCGAGTGGTATCCCAGGCTCTCACCACACACGTCTGCCAATAAAAAATACCAATCAGAAATCATATAATAAACACAGAATTGTTTGACATTATAATTTGTAGGTAAGCAGATGAAAGTTCTCACCAGCAGATTGTCACAAATGCCATTAGCAATCTTTCCAAGAGTGTTGGCATCCAGGGGAGCAATGACAAGAAGGTCTGCCCAGCGCCTGAGCTCAATGTGGAGCACAGGGTCGGATCTCTGTGTCCACAGCTAAAACAGAAAAAAGCGATTACCAAACTGACCAGAAACTGACTGACACTTCTTTCACTGAGTGTATGAGCCTTTAGAGTTTCTCAATGCTTCCTGTCCTTTGTGCATGTTTCACAATTCTCCTGTGGCTCAGCATCTGGAAAGCCGTAAAGTCACTACACTGATCCCACACTTTAATTCACTCAATGTGGTTTTGAGTGTGGGATTAGATTGTATTTTAATTTCACGGGCCTGACGGGAGCTTCAAATAATATGAAAATGATAGATGTAAATATAGCACATTCATTCATTTTTATATTTAATCAAAAATACAAATGATAAAAATATCAACAATCATGTCAGAGGACTAATGGATAATGGATTACTAGAACAATGAAGACGTTTTTACCTCCCACTCATCCTTGTCGCTGTAGGTTTTTACAGAAATCTCTGCAGGATTGAAGAAGTGCTTGGCATGCTCCGTAGTGACGACTCTTACTTCCACCTAAACCATAAAACAAGACATTCACAGGGATGTTTAAAAAAAAACGTTTTTACAGCATTAAGGATTTGCAATTTAACATACCATATAGCAATTCTCACAGAATTGTGGGGTTGGATGTGTGTAAAAAGGCACCAAGAGAATCCTTTCCTGTGATATCTCAAGTCTGCCTTTAGGGAATATCTTCAAATTGTGACCAGTTATCCCATGGACACATGAACCATAATAACAAGACCGCATTGCTGTAGTGTTGCGGCTGTGGCTGTATTACTGGCTAACAGATGCAACACCTCCATCTCGTGGTTCAGATGCGCCAATGTACTGGACAGGTTGAGAAGCTTAGCAGCAATAACTTCAGACATCCAACTTGAACATCCTACAGTGCATCAGTGAGCTGACGACATTCGTCTTTCTTGTTGTGTTCTGTGTGTGCATAATCAATCCACTTTTTTTAATGTGTAAGAGAATCTGCTTATCTTTTAAAGATTTGTAAAAGAGTAAGCTGCAGATGTGTTTTCAGAGTCTGTGCTATCAGATTTGTAAACGTGTGGAAATGTGCTATGAAATTAAAAGGTGCATTAAAATTGGCAATAAACATGCTTGGCTAATCAGAGTAAGTCTCAGTTGTCATTCATGACATTACACATAATTCTTTCCATTCTGTGAAGCACTTTGTGGTCCTTTTTGTGTAGTGCAATATAAATAAAGTTTTGTTCTTATCATTTTTATTGGTATAGCAAAATGAACACTTTTTATATTACTATGACAAGAACACTCGAAAATGACAGAACCCATCTTTGGGAAAAAATGTATTTAACGTGTACTTTGAGTTTTTAGTTTGGTCCATCACAGACAGACAGGAAGCAATAAAACAAATCTGCTCTTACGGAGGTGCAACAACAAATATGGAGCAGCTCACCTCAGAGAGCTGGAGAAGCTGGGAGACCAACAGAGGCAGCTTCAACGCTGCGACGCTTCCGGTCACACCAACAAGTACACGGAATCTCCCGGAGGATTTCACCAAGTCACTGACTGGCCGACAGCCCTGGCCCTCCGCCTGCATGTTTTCACATGGACCAGAAGAGCTGCTGGGGCTCGAACTGTGCGGTGATCCCGTCAAACCACCTCCACCTCAGTACTTCCGTATACACTCGCGGCTGGCCAATCAGAGGAGAGCACAACAAATGGCTCTGACGCGCTCTGAACCCCCCCCCCCCTGCGCGAGCACGTCGCTACGCTGACGCCCGTTGAGCGCGCTCGTTGACAGAAGCTTCTAGCTAGTGGCTAATGAGGAGTTAGCATGAAGCAAGGAGCTCCGTCCATCTTTAGCTAAACTACTCCCACGATGCCGCTCACACCGCTCGTTTACTGGGCTCAGCGACACGAGGACATTTACCTGCGAGTGGAGCTGACTGACGCTCAGGTGAGAGAACGTGTGTGTGAAGTACAGACCCTGGTAACACTGCTCAGTGATCAGCTGCAGTCTCCAAGAGTCAATATTACACTGTATTCTAAATAATACCATCATATACACATGATGCAACCAGGACCACTGGTGGTGTGTTTGATTAATGAAGTATTTCTGATTCTCTCTCTCTCTGTGTGTGTGTGTGTGTGTGTGTGTGTGTGTGTGTGTGTGTGTGTGGCATTACTTTAATGAGTGCCTCACATCTAAAGAAAGACAAGGCAGTGTTTACTGCCAGTCACACAGATGGGGTTAAGGTGGTTAGCATATCTGTTACTTCACCAAAAGTGTTATTAAGTGTTATTGCTGGATAATATGTTGCTATTGTAACCCTAGCTTAACTTATCTGTCTGTTAAGTGTTTGATTATTATCTTTGTTCTGTGCTATCATTGACAGGAAGTAATGTGACGTCTGAATTTTCAAACTACATGAGGTAGTAATCTTATCATCTGTCTCTGTTTTTGCAGATTATTGACGTCCATGTGCGAGAAAAGGTTCTTCAGTTCAGAGGTGAAATATGTTTCCTGTGCATCTGATATGAATAATGTATTCTTTTTACATCTCACTTGTGACACTGCTCATGTCTGGTATTTTGTGTGTAGCCCAGGGCCATGGTGCAAAAGGACAAAATGAATACGAGTTCAGCTTGGAGTTTCTGTCACCAGTAAAGCCAGAGGTATTTATCTACTTGAAAAGATATGTTGTGTTCTTTCTTCCTAATGATTTATAGTTTTGCTGACTGTGCTCATTTGTATCACCCTTTGTGCGCAGGTGAGCTACAAGTCCACACAACGGCAGGTAAATATCACAGTGCGGAAAGAGCAGCGTGGCTGGTGGGAGAGACTCACTGTGCAGGAGCGGAAACCTGTTTTCCTGACACCTGATTTTGACCGCTGGCTGGAAGAGTCGGACGCAGAGATGGAGATCCGTGAAAAGGTAAGTAAAAAGTAAAGAGAAGTTGTATCTTGAACACACCACCATGTGCATTTAGCAGCTTTGTTTTGATTAAATAGCATACTCGTACAAAATTAAATGAAAGTTTGTTTTAATGTGTTTGGTTTTTTTATTTCGGAAAGGAGGAGAAAAGGAACAGGCTGAAGGCTGCGAGGCCTGAAGATGAAGGTAAATACACATATTGACTTTTAGTTTGTGGTTTATGTAAAAAGCTTGATACCTGTTTTTAATGTGAAACTTTTTTTTATCAGGTTGAAGTTTGTTTATATTTTTGATGTTTAAAATTTTTGCTTCAGACCTTTGTCATATCAAGTTCCTCTTTTTTAATGTTTCAGGGTTTGTCAGTCTGAAAACAGGATATCTGTTTGTATATAACCTGGTGCAGTTTCTTGGTTTTTCATGGATCTTTGTTAACATGACTGTGCGTCTCTTCATCTTTGGCCAAGGTGAGAAATTGTAACATGAAAGTCTTTCATTATTTCTCCTTCATTCATCACTTACTTCACAAAAACCTGGTAAGACCTTTCATTTATAAGACTCTTCTCATTCCAGAGTCTTTCTATGACACATTCAACTCCATATCGGACGTGATGTTCTTCTGCCAGATCCTGGCATCAGTAGAGGTCCTCAATGCTGCTTTTGGTGTAGTCAGAACAGGTGTTGTTCCAACTCTTATACAGGTATAGGAAAATTTAAAAAATATATATGGCGTCACAGAGGTACTGCAATTCATTTTTAGAGTGAGTACAAATATATTAATCAGGGCTTTTGTTCTTTTACAAGGTGGTTGGAAGGAATTTTATCCTCTTCATCATTTTTGGGAGTTTGGAGGAAATGCACCACCAGCCAGTCGTGTTCTTCGTATTCTACCTGTGGAGCGCCATCGAGATTTTCAGGTACATATGCGTCTGCCTCCTCATTGTTCGTGGTGAGCAGTCATGAAAGTGGACTCTGTAAGAATGAAGGTTATTTTCCAGTCAGAGTCCCAACACACCGGAAACAGAGAATCCAGAAATCCTCTAAATGTTCTGCTACTGAATTGTTTCTCTCTTTAATGTAATTTGTCAGTGAGACGTTTTTGGACACCAATATTCTGATATTAACCTGATTAAGACAATGGTCTGAATAAGACACACATGTAAACAGTATTTTCTGATTACCTTAAGCTGAATATACTCAGAATAATATTCGGACCTTAGTCACATTATGTAGACACTTATACATCTTGTAATTTTAGCTGTAGACTCTTCCCCCTCAGAAACATTTGCCTCTAAAAGAAAACCAGTTCTGCAACTAACGACTTCAACTTTTGACACAAGAAGCATTGTCAGTGAAACCATTATATGTAAATTCACATTGCCGCTTCACATCAAAGCCAAACATAGACTCAACTTCACAGAGGAGTGGTTAATGTTTACCAACCAACAGATAAGAGCAACTGTTGTTTTTAGGATCAACATGTCAGTGGGTCATTTATGTTACATCATCATGTGGATGGATTCTTGCAACACGACTTGTTTCCTGCTTAAAACTAACGTGATGTTTGAATTTTAGGTATCCATTTTACATGCTGGGCTGTTGTAATACAGAGTGGAAAACCCTCACGTGGCTGCGGTACACAATATGGATCCCGCTCTACCCACTGGGTGTTCTAGCTGAAGGTGAGTCTCCCCACATTTTGTGAATTTATGCAATTCTCCTAAAAACATAAACTGAAGTTAATCTCATTTATCACTCTCATGCAGCTGTGGCTGTCATACAATCCATTCCCATCTTTTACGAGAGCAAACTCTTCAGCATTCCTCTGCCTAAGGCGATCGGCACCTCCATCAAATTCCACTACGTCCTATACGTTTACCTCATTCTCATGGTGCTGGGTAAGTTAGAACATTGTGTAAATCTCTCGACAAATATTATGTTCTAATGTCAGACGTTTTTTTTTTATACCGCGTTGTTCCTCTGTCTTCCTCAGGGCTTTTTATAAACTTTCGTCATCTTTACAAGCAGAGGAAGAGGCGTTTCCGTACCAAGAAGAGGAAAGCTAATTGAGTCTCAACACTGATAACATTCCTCAAACGCCTCTGCTGCCTGTTGATTTCTGGAGATATTTTTTAAATGATCCTAACAGTGATCGACCAAATCAGTGATGTTAAGAAAATATTTTCTGATCCCCAGCTTGTCTATGTTATAGTTAACATGAACATCTTAAGGATTATTCAATATTTAATTACTGCATTGACAGTCTCACTTACTGGTAATTGATTTCTAATATGAGTTTAGTAGATTAGTGAAAAACTGTAGTAAGACATAGACTTTGATGTCCTTTGTTAATTTGTTTATTTTAGTGCAGTGGTATTTTTGGTTTAATACATTGCAACAAGCACTGATCAGGACAAGTATTTTATTTGTTATCATTCCAGATTTCTGATCCATCTCACAAACCTCAGGAAAAATGACACTGGTGACTTTTAATACAGAAACAGTCATGTTCTGCTCAATGCTAACCTGCTATGAAGCATTTTTATTTGTGTCCCTTCCTCATTCTGATTCACCAGATCATGTGCAGTTTCGGAGGCAAACAGTAACAGTCACTTCTCTGGTTTCCTGTAACTGTGGCAGTTATGTGACACTGAATAAATTTGAAGTTTGTTCTTGTTAATTTGTGAAAAAAGATCCTACAAACTAACATGTAAAAAAATTATGTACACGCAAACGTTTTTACAAATACAAAATTATCTACATTTTTGCCATGTTCAGGCAGTGCCACAGAGGAGTTTCTGTAATGTGTAAATAATTTCCAGCATCCAGCGTGTCCAGGTGTAGTCTCCACGTGGTCCACACAGGCTGAAGCTGCTATATTCTAGTCCATTATCACCAAGTCACACGTGGTTTAGCTGGAGAAGTCTGTGTGCATGGGGGCAATATTTTGATCAAAAGCAGCATACTGGGAATCCCCAGTGCTCGCAAGTTTGAGCTGCTGTGCGGCGTGGGAGAGCTGGAACGCAGCGTCGGGATGGGCCGAGTCGGGCAACATAGTGCACTCTCTCTCCAGCAGATCAGCCACTCCCTTCAGGAGCTCCCAGAAACCGAAAGCCAAGGCAGCCTTCCGCAGACGGTTGAGCTCCTGACAAGTTAAAAATAAAGAACAGTTATTTAAATTGTGAAGCAAAGATCTTAAGTTTAGCTGTGTTTTCAAGCCTGAGCAGTTTTTAGTCGAACCTACCTTATAGAAAGTTTGAGTTTTATCTGGTAATTTTCTTGCATTCCTCAGAATCTTCTGCACATCAGTCTGTAAAATGAAGAATAATAATTAAGACTCATTACTATATCACATCATATGGGATTTATAGCAGAGATAAGAAATTCTAATGTCAACAACTTGCGAGTGGTCATGAACGGTTGTTCAGTAACAGTTAACGGTGAGGGTGAAAATACTGTGAAAGGACAAACTAGCACCATATTTATTTGTTTTGGGAGTCATTACATTTTACCAGCGACTTTCCTGATGTGAAGTGTCCGTATTTGTTTCAACAGTATTTACAAGTCAAAAAACTACGAGAACATGACTCATGAGTGAGCATTACCCAAGATCCACTGCAGAGAGGTGGGGGGGGGGCAGGTTGTGTTATCAAATGGAGATATCACAGACTTGGGCCATAAAACTACATTCCATTCTGAGCTGAAATTCAAATCACTTTAAAGGAGGTCTGAAGCAAAGTGACAATGATGTTTAAACTTTCTATAATATTTTTTATATTGTTTTCAGGTAATTTGATAGAATTCCTACACAAACGTTAGTGTTATATCCATATGTTGGTAGTTTAACATGTCTGGGCTCAATCTGTGAATATATTAGTGGCAATGCATTATGGGAGCTCTTAATAATGGCCTCTGCGACACTAATCCTGGATATTATATTTGCACTACCATGTTATGAAAAGGTATTTTGTCCAATTCTTACAGAAGAATCAAAAGCCACTATTTTGGTCACTTCACCAAAGATAATAGTGCTGTGACACATTGGTGATTTAAGTATACCTGTAGTCCACTGGCCTTTATCCACACAGTAACGTTCTGGGCGTAGCTTCTTTTGGCCGACGGCTGCACAGGAAAGGGACTTTTATCATCCTCTCCATAGGGATTTTCAGCAGCCTCTGAAATACCAGAGAGGTTAGGAAACGTCAAATCTACGGTATCGCAATCAAAGCAGCTCAACTTTGTTTAACAACTGTGTAAATCATTAACAGCTTGATTGTGAACACAAAGAGTCCTTCAGGAATAGGCAGTCATTTACCTATGCACAGGGTAATGTGTCCTAAGTTACATGAAAATACAGTTTCACAATATCCAAAAATGTCATAAGCACTTAAAATGATGCCTTCAGGAATTAGGATGTTTATGAACAGTGTGCTAATGAGACAAAAGTTTCCTGTGAATCGGATCATTCTGTTTGTTTGTCTGTGACAGTTTACCTGAGATTGGTCCCAAATATGAGATCTTGCCGAGCCAAGGCAGGGGCTCTGGACCAGGCTCAAACAGAGACATCATCAGATTTGATTTCTTCTTGCTGTCTGCTTGAGAATATAGCATACCAAACCACTCTGGCCTTGGGAGAAAAAAAATAGATTTAGGCTATTTATTCATGGAAATGTGTCATCTCATGTATTTTTATTTTATTTCAAATATGTTAAATATAATCAGCTTTGTTGATTCTCACCCCAGCTGGACCAGAGCCACCATGCCCTCAACTTTCAAACTGCCGTGTAAAAGGACACAAAAATTTGGACTCTTTCCTGCCATCTGACTGGCAGAGGGTTCCTCCTCAGGCTCATCTGTGGCTCCTGTGCCGACTTCATCCACTTCTGAATTTAAGCAGAAATAATACATGTTGCTAATAAGATCTGAAGTGTAGTATACCGAGCCCATTTCAGTCTTTGAATTAAAAATGATGTGCACATTTTAAATATGATCAAAGGGGCATCATTTCCAGCAGTTTAATATATAAATATTAAAAGAGAAATAAAAATGTTCAGCACTAACCTTTGTTTACAGCAAAAGGCAGAACCAAGTGTCTGGATATAACAGGAGGACTGGAAATATCGGCAATTTCGATGAAGCCCACAATTTCCAAATCTGAAACATGCATAACAGAATGAAAATTGTTCTGAAGAATGATAGTTTATATCAAACTCTAAACGAATAAATGTGAAGCTGGCTGGGTACCTGTATTGACTGTTCGTGGCATGGGCTCCACCTCTTCATCCACCACAATAGGCTCAGGTCGAGGGAACACCTGAACATCCGACGACAGGTTCCCACAGTGCAGGACCGCATGGAAAGGAGAGTATGCGTAATCAATCAGCCTCCTGGAGATAAACACAGATGTAAAATGATATAAAAGATGCTTTAGTAAAGAATAAAATAAGAAAAAGTACTGTTCATTTCGTCAGTAATAGTCATACCCAAACATGGCCTGTACACTCTTCATGCAAAGTGGTCCCTCCATAGTGAAGATCTGTCCATCCCCTCCACTGAGGTGAAGTAGTTCCTCCAGGTTGTCCATGGCATCAGTCATCTGTAACTGCAGGTGCACAAGACAGGAAGTTGCATTTGAAACAGCAAACAAATGTATCGCAAAATGCCAAAATTATACAGGGATGCACATTTGAAAAACTGATATGCACTGGACACAAATGTGAGACACATAACACTCAAGACATTTTAATAAACATTATGTGTCAGTACATTAGTACTAAATAAATAATAATAAATAAAGACTCAGTATAGGCCATCACTTTAGATCACGTTTATAACAGCTGCTTCAGGTTGTATGGTTTCTGATCAAAATTCCTCCTTGGTAGTGCATTTGGATAAAGATGCAAGTAAAGAGAAAATAAGTGTTGAGCAGGCAGCCAAAACAATGTTATCAGTACCTCCTCTGCATTAGCGACACACATGATGAACAGTTTGGTGGGGAAAGGGAAAGGAAGTGGGAACTTCTTATCATCCCCACGGTGCTTCAGTGTTTGGAGGGAGTGCCGTAGGGAACCTTTTCCAATGCCAAGAGATCCATCAGTAATCAGCATCAACTAGAGGTCATCAGAGAGAGGAATACAAACTGAGATCAATATTCATAGGGTTTCTGCAAATTACAACTTAAAGATTCAGTGTTCAGAATGTAGTGACATCTAGTGGGGGAAAATGCATGTTGCAGTTGAATACCCTCACCTCACCCTCCCCTTTCACACATGAAAGACAACCTGTGGTAGCCTTCAGTTGTCATGAAACCTCAAAAGATGTTTACTTTGTCTAGTTTGGGCTACTTTAAAAAACATGGTGGCCTCTGCAGAGAGGATCCGCTCCCAATGTAAATATAAAGTATCTAAATATGGGGCCAATTCTAGGGTAAAGAAAAAAACTATTGCTACATCCAATTACTTGCACATCCTCATTATTGAAGAAAATGAAAGTGTTGTAGAGAATAACCCTTGAAACAGCAAGTCATCTCTTAAACTAGATTAAGAGACAAAACCTATAGTCCTTCCCACAATCTGAGTGTATTGAGATATATTCTGACCAGGGTGTTTGTAAACTAAGTTATCATTTTAATGTTGATCTTGTTTGAGGTTTTATTAGTCTGTATTATTGAAAATGAACACATGAAGACACTGAACAATGTGCATGCCACTGACACATTTCTCTAAAAATAAAATGCATTAATGACAGTTAACATAATTGAGACCTACAAAAACGTATTTAAGATCTACTATGAAATATTTTACATATTTAAGACTTTTTAAGGCTTAACATTTAGTTAATACTCTTAAGACTTTTTAAGATTAGTCGGTACATCAGCTTTATCTGATCAACAAACTCAGAGGTGTGATGAAATTGTACAGAGAGCTTTCCAAAGTACCTGACAGGGACAGGCACTGCCCCACTCTTGTTGGACAACATTACTAACGCCTTGAAGGGCTGATTCAATGCAGGTCTTGTCATAGTCTTCCAAGCTGCTCAGAGCCTCCTGCACAGGAAAAGATGTGTAAATTAAATATTCCCTCACAGCTCAGGTGAGGAAAACATGCTCCTTCTGACTCATGAGGCACACTTCACCTGTAGTGCATTGTAATCCCTGGTGAATGGCACCAGCAACTCCCAGAGGGAAGAGAAGGCCATGAGAGCCGTAAACTCCAGGCGGTAGTTGGAGGCCATGTGTTCAAACAACATGTTGAGCCCGTGCACAGCCAGGTTCTTCCTCTGAAACTCCTCGCTGCCATCCAGTGACACCGGCCGTGTCATGGACAGAGACACGTCCATCAAGACCACGGTAGGCATGGCTCGCTGCTTATACAGACTCACAACAATGCAGTGGACTTAAAGTGGCCTCCAGTGTGTTCCCACTGAAGGAAAAGACAAGATGACAAAGTTGATAACATCACAAACACAACACATGTTTATGAGCTTCTCATCATGTATTAGGATGGCGGATGGAAGCTGATCATGGATAGTGGTGGAGGATCATGATCGTGGTGGAGGATGATGATCATGGTGGATCCTTATCGTGGTCTATGATTACAACAAGACTGCTTGACATAAAATACACCTACTCACATACTCTATCATTACTGACCATAAATCCTCAATTATTTCTATTTAAATTCATACAAACCGTTTCTTCTTATCGATGTTGTAAATACTGTTATTTTGCTGATGTTCTCAGTTACAGTTATCTATTGGACTTCTGTCTGTCCTGGGAGAGGAACCCCTCACATGTGGCTCTCTCTGAGGTTTCTACGTTTTTCCCGTTAACAGGGGTTTTTGGGTGTAGTTTTTCCTTACTCTTGTTGAGGGTTAAGGACAGAGGATGTTAAGCCCTTTGAGACAAATTGTGATTTGTAAATATGGACTATACAAACCGAACTTGATTGATATATGAAATGAGCAGTCGTCAGTTATCTGTCATATGACGCAGCAGTAGCTGCACTAATGTCAGCGACATCACAGAACAAACATTCAATGACGTTAAAAGCTAAAAAGTGAAGGACACATCACAGCAGAGAGCTGGTGGCTAACAGTTGCTAATTTACGCTAGCACCCTGCAACAAAAAGCCCAAAAGCCCAAAGTAAATAAAGGCCTCGTTTCTATTGAACGAATATAAGAAAATAAACAGACACACGGTTAAAACTTTGTGTGAACATGAATTAACAGAGAGACATACAAATAAATACATATATTTAGACAGATACATGCCATTCAGTGTTTCGCTCGCCATACAGTTCTGTTTTGTGCTGGAGTGAGCAGCGCTACTTCCGTCCGGGTGAAACAAGTGTGCTGTATTCCTTTAACACATGGTTCCTATGGGAGGTAAAACAAAAACCATGTTTGTGCGCTAAGAGATTTACACAAAAACAAGCCGGGAGTATTATCAGTCATTTCAACAATACTCGTGCTTACTCGTGCACATTATAAGTTCGAGTTTAGAGATTTGGATGTTAGTTCGTGTTTAAATGTGATGTGCTGGAAAAACAACTGATCGACATTAGAAGAAACAACATTTTTGTCTTTTCAGTTCAGGAAACATCGGACACGAAGGATTGATCCACCCCATTTCAGCCCTGGATATAAAAAACAAGATTTTGGATTGTTGTGTTTAAAATAAAAAATAGTGGAAGACGTTCGGCCCCATTTCTAAAGGTAAGACAGAGTTCACACTGTTTCTGTGTTTGATGATAAATAAAATAAATAAAGTAAACGTCTGTCAGGCTGCAGAACCAAAGCTTCAGTCTGCGGAGGAGACTGTCATAATCCTCTTAAGACTCAAGGAGCATTGTATTTGGAGATGTTTGACTAACCTGCATCTGTGATTAAAAGTGTTTATTTTGCTGGTGCTGCCATGTCTGAAGAGAAGAAAATTGCTCCATGTGCTTTATAAATTTCACTTAATCTCAACTTCACGTTGTTTTATTTTTCCAGGGATCGAAGGATGTGAAGAGTCACTCGACTAAAGTTTTGGAATCTTTCACTCCATGCCCTGCCTGTGAGGAAGCTGGACTGGACCTCATGTGTGTATATTTGGGAAAATGAATTGTGCAACGGGGAAGACACTGAAGTTGAGCTGGGTTGTGATTCTCCTCTCTGGGGTTTTCCTTTACCAGCTGACCACCAGTGCCAGACTCTACAGGCCTCAGATTGGAGAGGACTTCAGTTCATCAGAGGCACAGGCGCTGGAGGAACCTGCAACTGCAACTCATGAATTAGAGCCCACAGATCAATATACAACTGAGGTGCATGTGGTGAAACATCTGGATACAACAACATCACATTTGAAAGCATCCACCTCCACTGAATTTCCACCACTGACAACCACAAACCAGACTATTGTGCACTGCATCTTCGTGGCCCCTGAGCCTCCACCAGAGACCCCCACACCAGCTTTGGTGAAACTGCTTTGTTTGTTTGTGATTTTTAAATTTTTTTCCTTACCTAATTAAGCTGAGAAAAAGTACAATAAAGATCATATTTGATCTGTCTAATTGTCTACATATTAAATTATGTAAAACTAATTCCTTTTATTGCCAACATTTTAATTTCTTCATGTATGATGTGTGAATAAATATTTGTATTTCTAAATTGAAATTAAACAATGGTTTAAAATGGAGGTCCAGGGTTTTAGTGTGGGTAGCCCCTGATGTTCACAGTAAAATCTCTGTTGTGTCTTATTTGCCTTGAAGAGAATCTCATTATAATATACAGCATATCTGACCAATGCTTTTAAGATTTGTTTTAGTCACTTTTATATCCATTAGTCCTTGTTCTACAAATCTCTCCCTGTTGACTTTGACAGATACACTGTGCTATTGCACTTCAAAATATAATTTCAACATTATACAGTAGCTCTAAATGTCTCATCATACGTTGGGTACAGAACAGAACAAAAATAACTCGGAACATGTCACATTTTCCATCACTAACTTGAGTTTTCACATGAATTTGTTTCTTGTTTGACTATAATCTTTCCTTGTATTATTCAGCAATAAATTGTATTAGATGTGGGTGGGAGAATAAAAAATAGAGCAATCCTACAAGTCATAATACAAGTACAACTTCAACTTGAATCAAGATAAATTGTAAACTGATTAATTCCCTTTTCATTTCACCAGCCTTTCCGCCTTGAATTAATCGAGAAGCGACAAAGGAACTCAGAGGTGAGCTGTTCCCAGCAAACACAATGCTTCCTGTCTAATGCCCCTAATTTATATTTCTTAGAGCACAATGTAAACTTAAACAACATGAATGATATTTCCCTGAATGTAAATGCCTATAGACCACCATTGCCAAAGTGCCTATGCAATACACCATCAAACTAAAGCACCACTTTTATTTTGCTCTCAATGAAATATTACTACGGTAGGCACACGATAAAGTGAGAGTGAGACAATGCACATAATCCTCTTAGAAGACCTCAGGTATTATGTATTATGCTGATCCTTTGTGAAGACTTGTCCCGTGTCCTACATAACTCTGTGGCCACTGTTTGCAATAGTTTGGACTTTTGCTTGTGCCACAATATCCAGCTGCAGAAATCTGCTTTTTTGGAGGCTTTGCTAAATCTTCACTCAGAGGTAAGTCTGCATTTGTGATTAAATTATCATACGACATTGTCTGTTTATTTTAATCATCATACAGGTTTAATTTCTCTTGGCATGTAAACACTGACTTTGCTTGGTGTTTTAGTTTCTTTTCTGGTGGTTAAGTTGTACACATAAAACCATACAATGTGTAAATAATATAATCACGACAGCTTATGCATGAAGTGCATTGCATGGACAATTCAGATGTCTGGAAGCATACATTACTTATCAATGATGCTTCTTTAAATTTTTTTCTTCTTTTCCAAGGAGCCGAGGATGTGACATGAATCAGTCCAGTGTAGTTTTAAATTCAGTCCCCCCATGGTGTGCTGGGGAGCGAGCAGGACTTGTCCTCTACCAAAGCCCATTTATGCAGCTTAATTCGACATAGCCAGTAACTACTTCAGAGGACCATGCATTGTACAAGAAGGAAGAGGCTGCAGCTGAGCCGGGTTGTGTTTCTCCTCTCTGGGGTTTTCCTCTGCACCCTCTACCAGCTGACCATCAGTGCCAGACTGTACGAGCCTCCACCGATGCCTCAGATTGGAGACAACTTTGGAGAAGGTTCAACAGAGGGGGGTGATGAGGCTACATTGGAGACTCAGGCGCTGGAGGAACCTCCCACTGCAACTCATGAATTAGAGCCAACAGATCAGACAACGACTGAGGTGCATGTAGTGAAACATCTGGATACAACAATGTCAGATTTGAAAGCATCCACCCCCACTGAATATCCAACACTGACAACCACAAACCGGACTTTTGTGCACTGCATCTTCGTGGCCCCTGAGCCTCCACCAGAGACCCCCACACCAGCTCCAGCTCCTCCTTTAACCACCATCACTCCAGCTTCTCCTGGTGAGGCTCCACATATTAAAGGAGAATACCCTGAAGATGTTTTTACTATAGAAGACCGCAGACGAGGCTGGGTGGCCCTCCACATATTTGGGATGATTTACATGTTTGTGTCACTTGCAATTGTGTGTGATGAGTTCTTTGTTCCTGCTCTGGGGGTAATCACGGACAAGTTAGCCATTTCTGACGATGTGGCAGGAGCCACCTTCATGGCGGCTGGAGGATCTGCCCCCGAGCTTTTCACCTCCTTGATAGGGGTCTTCATCGCCCACAGCAACGTGGGCATTGGCACGATAGTTGGCTCAGCAGTTTTCAACATTTTGTTCGTGATTGGAATGTGCGCTTTGTTGTCTCGGGAGGTGCTTCATCTCACCTGGTGGCCACTCTTCAGAGATGTGTCCTTCTACATACTCGACCTGATCTTACTCATCATCTTCTTCCTGGATAATGTCATAATGTGGTGGGAGAGCATGATGCTGGTGACCAGTTACTCTCTCTATGTGATCTTCATGAAGTTTAATGTGCAATTAGAACAGGCCTTCAAGAGCCAACTCCACAAACACAAGAATATCGTCAAAATCATTGCTGTAGAGGAACCTGACAAGGTGAGCACGACTGGGACAAAATGTGATCTGTTGCTATTTGTGATGCTTTCTATATATTTATTGGCAGCATTTATGTTGGTGTTTTATCTTGTTAACCTCAAACATTGCACCAAAAAACTGATCCGTGGAGGAGTCTTAGCTCTGTTTAAACTGTAGCATCAACATTCACTGTGTGTGGCCCTGGTACAGGTGATTGAGGCCTTATTTACACGAGGTACACTAGAGGGCTTTTGTTGGGCTGGATACAGGTTACTATTGGAGCCAGGTCCCCAATGAACTAATGTAATTAGTTAATCTGTTTAAAATGCTACTTCACATTAAATATACTATAGTAGTATTATAGTGTTTTTAATGGGGGGATGGTAATTGTAGTCAAACAACATTATTAACACATCTCTTTTATTGTCATGTAACACTAACTGAAGTGTGAAATAGTGACGTATCAGATTATAATGTTCAGTTTAACTTCAATGCCTTTGGTCTATCTCAACCAAGGTTGATTATCACTGATCAAACATTCTTGCATGCAGACAAATGAAGACAATGCTCCTCCTGCTCAACAGGACAAGAACCGGTTAAAGGTAAGAAGTCAATTAACCATTCGACAAGAAAAAGACAATGAACTATATCTCCAGATTATGTTTGTAATAGCTTCTTACATTTCTGCAGTCCCATTTATCTTAGCATCATGCTAAACAAGCCATCATCCATCACATGTCAATGCACTTGTCAAATTAATAGACAGGGCTGACCTCCAGTCTGACAGGATTATCTAACAGTGGTGTGTTCCTGTCTGTTACTGCGAGTAGCTATCCTGACCTCAGGCGTCTCTCTCCCCAGTTGAAGCCGTCCCTTCAGCGAGGGGGAAGTTCCGCTTCCTTACACAACAGCACCATGAGAAACACCATCTTCCAACTCATGATTCACACGTTAGACCCTCTAGGAGAGGGTGAGTACCACGTCGCCGTGACAACAAGCCTCATGCCTAATAACTATGTGTCTTTTCAACTGGTTTATGACTGTTCTCATAATAAAATAGATTAGTGTTGCAAATGAAGCTGCACTAAGTCCAGATTGATACTAAGCAGATAAATACCTCTGATGGTCTATAGAGGGATCTAGAGGCCCACTGTCAAATATAAAGAAAATTCCCAAATAGAAAACTGTGTTGCATACATTTCTTTTAAAATCATATGTATATATATCATTTATTTTGGTCACTGAGTAATTGTCATCATATGGTTCACCACAGCGTTCTGAGTGTGTTTTTCTTTGTGTGATTGTTCGTAGGGAAATTTATGGATAAGGCTGAGATTCTGAATAATGTGGCTTGCCGGAAGGCAGAGAGCAAAACTCAAGACAAAAGTGAAGGTAACATGGAAGCATGCGATGGTCATCCGATCCATTAAGCTTTCCGATTCTGCTGTCTGTTGTCTGTGCTGTTTCTCATTAAACCATAGATGAGCCAGGTTCTGTGACTTTAGAAAGATTAGACGTCTATAAAACATGCCTTCCATCATGTAATAAGATAACTTTGTTTTGCCACCAACAGAAAATGTGTCTTTATCATCTTTTCATGTTACTTGGTAGAAGGTGGGTGACCTGCACTAGAATATGAAATATATCCATTACATCCAACTATCCATTACACAAGGAATACATCAAGTTCTACATGGATAAAATATATTCTATAACTAGAATTTCCCCCCGTAGAGCACATACCTCCACCAAGACAGTCTCCTTAAATTACATCAAGCTGCACCAAATTGCACACACTTATAGATATATACATAGATAATAGTAAATGGTCTGTATCTATATAGCGCTTATAGTCTTGATGACAAACCTCTTTACATCACAGTTTTGAGGTCCAGCATCTTGCTCAAGGACAGGTTCGGCATACAGAGTGGATCAAACCACCGACCTTCTGGTTAGTGGACAACCTGCTCTACTTCCTGAACCCCAGTCCCCTAAATGTGCTCGATTTTTTTCACCTAGATCAATAAATTTGTTTGGTGAAAATGTAACAGAAAAGAGAGAGAAAGCTCTACCTCACAATATTGAAGAAAGTGAAAAACGACACCGGAGTTATTTTAGATAGCTGATTAAAAAGCTCCATGGAAACACACTGCATGTTTGGAATTCCTGTTTCAGATGGTGGAGGAAAAGCTGAGCAGACCAAGGAGCCAGAGGCTGTCGAGAAGAAGGAGCAGACGGAGGACAAGAAGGTAAGCTCCAACCAAATCCTGGTGATTATCACAAAGCCCAGAAGTCAGTCATTGATGCCTGTAGCTGCAACTTAAAGCCTGTCTGGGCTCCTGTGTTCTTTTGCTGTTATTTCTCTTTTTCACCCAACACATCAGGAGGATGTGCCGGCAGGAGATGATGGGTCAGGGGGATCAGAGGACTCTGACAGTGATGAGAATTGCAGCGATGAAGACAGCGATGAGTCCAGTGAAGATGAGGATGATGATGAAGAGGAAGATGAGAACGAGGATGAGCCTCTGTCTTTAGAGTGGCCTGACACACGACATAAACAAGCCACCTACCTCTTCCTGCTGCCCATAGTCTTCCCTCTGTGGCTCACAGTTCCTGATGTTCGCAACCAGGTGAGATACACACACATCTCTGGGATCATCTGTAGGATCTCAGATAACTGTAGACTGACTGGTTTTGCTTTTACAACAGAAATCCAGAAAATTCTTTGTGATCACCTTTCTGGGCTCCATTCTGTGGATCGCTATCTTCTCCTACCTCATGGTGTGGTGGGCCCATCAGGTCAGTTACTTAAAACGTATATGATAACATTTTGAGATGAGATTTGAAATTTGCATTTTTAAATAACAAAGCATCTTCCATATAAATGAGTGTGACCAGAGATAATGCACAAATGCAAATATATTTTTTCAACAAACCCATGAAAAGAGATTACGTAAAATGTTTGTATTTCTCAATAATAAATAAATATTCAGGAGACATTACGACATTTTAGAAAACAATCCATACACTTCAAAGCTCAGGCAGGGGTTGTGTGTGTGTGTGTGTGGCATTTTATACAGAACAAATCTGGTTTGGTGCTGGTAATGAAATAAATAATCTGTTTTGTGTTTACGAAGAGTTGTATGAAACTGAAAATCAATTTCAGGTTCCTCTAAAATCTAACTATGAATTGAAAATCTGTGATTGGTTCCTGTAGGTGGGTGAGACCATCGGCATCTCAGAGGAGATCATGGGCCTTACTATCTTGGCTGCAGGGACGTCAATCCCCGACCTTATAACCAGTGTGATTGTGGCACGTAAAGGCCTGGGGGACATGGCCGTGTCCAGCTCTGTGGGCAGTAACATCTTTGACATCACTGTTGGGTGAGCTCCAGTAGCCTGAAAACCTGTTTTTCTTAGTCTTTAGTTTTTACTGTTTCTCTCACTCTGTCACTTTGTTTTTCTAAAGGCTTCCAGTCCCGTGGCTCCTGTTCTCATCCATGCACGGTTTCGCCCCTGTGGCCGTCAGCAGCAATGGGCTCTTCTGTGCCATCGTGCTCCTCTTCCTCATGCTGCTCTTTGTCATCATCTCCATTGCTTCCTGTAAGTGGAAGATGAATAAGGTGCTGGGTTTCACCATGTTCCTGCTCTACTTTATCTTCCTGGTGCTCAGCGTGATGCTGGAGGATCGAATCATCATCTGCCCTGTCTCCATCTGAACAGACGTTCTCCCTGGCTGTTGTACTTTCCAACAACTCTGAACCTTTACATGCATGGGTCACATCAGCATGGGTCTGGATATCTGAAGAAACACTGCAGAAAGCTGCTGCCAGTGACACTGGTCTCACTTCTTCGCAGCAGTACATATACTATTTATACATTTTCTAGACCTTATTACATTTTCACTTCCAGTAAAAATGGCAGCTTTTACCTTTTCTATTTAAATCAGCAGATGTAGATCTACTGTCTTATGTAGGGCAGAATGTGCAGTTATAGCAATAAAAATGTATATTCTATATTAATAGACAACAATTTTTTCACTGGTTATGAAACAGCATTCACAGAATGAAAATCCAAATCTAGAAAATGGAAAAATATAGGTTTCTAAATGTAGATTTTGTATGAAATGTAAGTTCACACTTGCTCCTACGACTGTTTTATAACAGTATAGAGAACCTCACTCTTCTCACATACACATCCGTTTTTAAAAAACAAGAATAATCATAGAACATATGTTTTGGAAAAAATTACTTTACATCCATTAAAAAATGTGTTTATTCATAAATCAAAGCAAAGTATAGATCCAGACAGATTTTGTTTTTTAGGTAAAAATCATACAAATTAGTATCTGTGTTACAAATGATAAATAATACATCAAAGACATTGTGTAAATTGACAAATAGCGTAAACAACATGTAGACATCAATTGATGTTTTGGTCATCAGTATTTTTTTGTTACTGCGGTTAAAATGCAAATGTGGTTCTGTGGGACTGGTGATTATTCCGAACAGAAAGCTGTGTCTAATCCAGCATCTTATCATTAGGAGTAACTGTGAAGTTCAGTTCTGAGCCGTGCAGCTGCGTCACGCTGAGATCAGCAGGGTTTTTTCAGTTTATAGTGAGAAACAATATCAGCACAGTGAATAAACACATTCATTATTGAACGTGGTCTTGAATCAGGGCAGGTTAGAGCTGTCGATCACACGTAACAGTCCTGCACTGTCATCTGTTAAATTAACTTTTTTCAACAGTCAGTTTTATTTTAAGTAGCTAAAATGACCATTAACAGTGCACTGTTGTCCAAATGTCTAAAACTGACATCTACAACAGAGTGAAAAAAAAATACAAAATACTAGAATCAAATACAATTTCATAAATCTGTTACTAGGTCAATACATGAATCTCTATAAAACTTGTGTTGATTAAATCAACAAAAACATTTATTTTATTTGTCTGATATAGTTTGATTGTACCGTTTTTAAGGACATTTATCCTTGATGGTCCCATATTTCACACATTTTATTTAGTCTTCATTTTAAAAAAAGGTATTGCATTAAAATGAAACATAAATTATTCCTAGAAGTATTACTCCCTTTTTGTTTTTTTGGTACATTGTACATAAAAATTATACATGAATAAACATTGTGCATATAATGTAAATTAATTGAGTTCTCCCTTTTTTTAATTAGAAATTCTGTTTTTAAATGTTTTGATACTTAAGTGTACTCGGGCATAAGGACATGACCCTGTCGGATTTACAAGGTGCAGATCAGGGGGAATTTCTTAGCTTTTTGTGAACTGCATGTAATGGAAACATTAGACAGTGAGTCCTGCGGCTGCCAAACAGAAAAGTCACTTAAGTGTCTGCTGCTGGGCCACAGCGTCACATTTCTGAAAATGAACAGCGAGAGCTCATCTCGTCAAAGTGCTTTGTAAAAACATGAATGTCTAAAAGCTAAGTACATACTGTACACACACGCACACACGCACGCACGCACGCACACACTCAACAACAGTCTTAACAAGGTCACCAGGACCACTGAGAACTTTAGACAACGTGATCATATACTTTGACAAACTTACTCACAGCTTTAACAGGAATTACAAGTCATAAAATAGACTGTATATTAACTGTATATATAACTGACTATAGTTATACTGAAAATACAGTGGAATTTCAAATATTTACAAACACAAGTACTGTCCCATCATGCCTCTTAGCTCTATCAGTATAAGAAGCTGCAGTAGCTTTACATTAAGTGTAAAAGTTGTGCTTTAAAGAGCTCTGTGCCTCAGCCTGGTGAGATGGTCCTGAGTCTGAAGATCAGTCCAAAATAATAGATAGAAAAGAAAGCAGTGACCTCAGTTGAGGGAGAAACGTCCTGGGACAGAAGAAGAGAAGTAGTTTACAGGCTGGGCTCCCTAAAAGTTCTCCTGCACTCCATGACCCCAGGTCCAGGGGGCCGGTCACAGTTGTGCGTCAGTTTGACCAAGTTGGGCGTGAGGCGATCGTATGCCAACTTGTACTCCCGGTCAAAAGCATCTTCAAAGAGAGATTAGTTAGTAAAAAATGTGGATAGAATATTCACTTAGTTTAGCAAATTCCCATAATAACTTTTCCTAATCAGCACTAACAACCATGGACTGTATATAAAGATGGACCTCTTCCTCCCACTATCCAGAAATGAATGGAGCATTTGGAGTCTGCACAGTAGTGATCGGGGGATGGAGCCGTGTTAGCATTGTCTCAACAGTATACATGCTTGGCCAGTCAAGGTCAATTTCAGCTGTCAATCATGGCGTTTCACAACATTTTTCATAGCACCAAATAACAAATTACCAGGAAAATTTACATTTGAACTTTTTATAAAATAACACGGAGGAGGTGTGATTTGTGGCCTATACTGAGGCCAGCCACCAGGTGGTGATCAATGGTGAGCTATCAGGTCATCATCTTTATAAACACTGTCTGACAATGACAGATCAACGAATTGGTTAATTGAAATTGTAGCCTTCGGGTGGTGCTAAAGTTTAAGTCAAGGGATCACCAAAGGCATTTAGAGTCTCTCACAGGGCACCTCCGATATCTGTACCACATTTAATGGCGATCAACCTAATAGCTGTTGAAATGTTTAAATCTGGAACAAAGTCTGACATTCCATCCCATGTTGCTGTAGTAATGCAAGGATGCTAGGCTTTTAAACTTACCTATATTAATGTTGTTCTTCCCCAAAGCCACTAGAGCCAGGAACAGTAAATCTCTGTAGAGGCTCCTGTTTGGAAAAAAGAAGATGGAGTGTTAAACTTTCTCGTCACATCATCTTCACTAATTTACGCTGACATCTATATTTCCTCACCTCTGTCTCCTGAAACCCAGCTCCGGCCCCAGCAGCTGGATGATCTGACTCATGGGCTGATAGACATCACTCTTCTTTATGCTCCTCACAAAACCCTGCAGCAGCTCCACAGTGAAGAGCTGGCCTTCCTCACACAGCCCAGAGCGGACCAGCGAGTTGGCACCTGAAATGCAAGAGCGATAAAAGTCACCTTCATCGTTTCCCTCCTTCACTCGGAATCAGCTGTGAAAGTGTAGCGCTGATACAGTCAGAATGACTAATAACAGTCCTGAGCTGAATAATGCATGGTTTTCAAGTTACTTCATATGCATGATTTAATATGCATGTAAATATCTGACCTCGATGAAACTCTGCAGTGTTACCATCACTTTCTGAAAGTCAATTCACCCTCTGATACATGATATCTACCAGTCTGTTCAAGTCAATGCTGAAACGACTTACAGTGTGTGTTCCACAGGACGTAACAGGGTTGAACTTTGTCTTGGTGCAACTTCAGGTTGTCCCACATAATCCTCACAAGCACCTGCTTACTGTCGTCTGATGAAACGCTCTGAGGAGTCTGAAGAGAGTAAAAGTGTGCAGGATTAATCCTTGTTCTGGATCTTGCAGCCCTGGTGGGCAGAATTTGAATGCTGTTATAGTGTTGAAATTACTTGGTTCTGTTTGTTTAGAGATTTTATGACATTTTTCCATGGGAACATTTTTGCTGCTTTCAAACGATTTATAGGTCTGTGTGTTTTTCAACAATTTCCAACCACTAGGAGTCACCGATGTTAGAAATGTTCACATCCCATGCATAAGTATAGACTTTATTTAAAGAGAGACGAAATTATTGTTCCTCAATATGAAGCCAAACATCTTGATTGCCCCCTGGTGGCTTGCTGCCATATGGATCACAAATCCCACCTCCCCCCACGGTAATGGATTGGACATAGACCAAAGTTATGTACTTGTTTGATAAAAGTTTTCACAAAGATGCTATCTGTCATTTTTTATTTGAGTTCTTATCACACTGATGTTTTTCCAGTAAGTTTGGTCTAAATTAGTTTTTTGATGCCGATGAAAAATGGGGTGAAACATCATGATTGACAGGTGAGGCTGATTTGCGATAGGTCGAGCGTGTGTATTAGTGGGAACTTGATAGCGTGGCTACACATATCAACTCTACAGTGGGAGGAAGTGGAGGTGTTGTCCATCTTTATATGGTTTTTAGTGCTCATCAGAAAATGTTTGCATGCTAACTTAACTTAAAATTCAAAATTCTATTCCTTATATAGAGTTGTAAAAACAAATTGTGACTGAATAGTGACTTTATATTAAATGGGTTTAATCTGGAGACAAATATATGTGACTGAGCTGAACAGACTTATTTACCTGGTCACTGTGGCGACAGTGCTGGGAGGCCAGGATAAGAGCCGGCAGGATACTTGGCAGCTCGAGCCTCCGGAAGTACCACACAAGGTTCCAGAAGACAATGGGGTGTTGGTCAACAGCACTCGGGGAGGAGATGGCCTGGTCGCCCTCATTCACCAGCAGGCTCTCCAGCTCCTTCCACAGAACCAGAGGGCTCAGGTAGGGCACCGTCACAGGAGTGGATGCTGGTGCTGCCGTCCCACTGCTCTCCTGCCTCTGCAGGGGAGCTGTAGATGACTGAGCCACACAGTCAGTCACTGCCATTTTGGCCTCAGGATTGAGTGACGCAGATGTGTCCTCCTCTATAACAGGATGACTTTCCTTAGAGGACCTGAAAGAAGACACACCTTTTTAAAGAGGCCACAGGGATAAATGATGTTGGGTCTGAGTTTGTGAAAGTGCTGTTCAGGAAAGTACCTGACAGCAAAACAGACACCAGGGGTGGATCC